AAGACAAGGATTATCAAAAACTTCAGAAAATCTCGGCATCATTAAAAATAAATTAAATACATATATATAGAAAAAAATTCTCAGCGATAAGTTTAATATGAAAAACTTCGGCTGTTTTCTCTTGACGTCTGACATTTTTTTGAAAGGTTCAACACAAGTTTTAACATTAAATACAGTCAAAACAAGCGAAAATTATCTGTTCAAGAATAAAAATATTACGGAAATAAATAAATCGAGGAAAATAACTGTAGATACTCCACTGATTAAGAATAGGACATGCGTGGTACACGCGGACATTTACTTTTGGACCTAAGCTCGTCCGCCATGTAGAGAAAGGTTGCTTGATGGAGCCCACCTAGTTGAACAGTGCAATTCCTTGGCTCTATATAGAAAGCATGCAAGAATGGCACCGATTTTTGGAGGAAACGAGGTTGTCCTGTTGACAACCCCTGGAGGTCAACCTTGGACTGTTAAAACCGAAGTCTGACTCCGGACAGCCCACACCCGGGGTGGGGCGAGTCCTGCCGATAATTTATCGTAAACTACACAAAAGCAATTGGTGGATTGCAAGAAGTGTTAGGCTCAACTCTATACACACGTGTGTATTGTATATACATGCACATGCAGATTTGAGCTTACATAAATCAGTAGGAATGCCAGCCGATATTAGAATTTGCTTGAGCACGGAAGCTGCCCCTGTTTCGATTTTTAGAGAAAACAGGGCTTTTTTATTGGATATAATACTTTATAGAAATCTCGTTTCGTGTTTCTTTGTGTATGATGAGACTGAATGTATTTATTAGCGTGCATTAAACTGTGACTGGCCGATGGCGGAATATTGAGTACCTCAACGACCCTCAATTAGATTAGTTATATAATACATAAAGGGTGATGGAGGAATATCGAATACTCCAGCACTCACAGTGAATGTTTGTACGTAAGAAAGAATGTATTTAAGATTGAGTAAGAGTGTGAATGGGAGGTTGCATTGATGGTTGAAATGACTTAGCTGTTGATAGTCCGTGGAGCTTGATAGTCGTTGGCTGGACGTATAAGAACGAGTTCTGAACCCCAGGACTGCCAACACCCGATGATTCTCGAGTCCTGCCGGTAATTTATTGTAAACTACAAAAGCCTGAATTTGCGGCGGACTGCGGAAAGTGATAGGCTCAGCTCTTCACCCGTATCTATGTGCACCCGTGTGAAAAGGTGGGTTTATAATGTAATAACAATGTTTATGGGCCGACAAACAGCTGAGATCATTGCCGCCCCTCTGCGTGTTTTACTTTTTTTTCTGATCTTCCACGCTACTTGTTTTAAACTGCAAACATCTCAAGGTGATCATTGACTCTTTGCTTGGGCTGATATAAATGATCTATTGATACTAAAATATATAACTATATTGCATAAATGATAAAATAACAACTTCGTTTTAATATTTTTAGTTTTGTTCTATATTCAAGGAAATTAAACATCGACATCACGATTGTTTATCTTTCTGCCATTGTTTGTAAAAAAGCAATCAAGTTGTGCTTATAATTGCAATTTCGGATCAAATTAAATATTAACGATCCTTTGACCCATTTTTTTATTATATGCAGAGGATATTCAATAGAAACCCAGGACAAAATTACATAGCTGCTCTTCAATTTATTCATCGGGTTCATGAGCGGACAGTTTTATATATTTTGTCATCCATATTTTAGCACCTACTTAACTTAATTACTATTGTGAAAATATTATGTTTTGCTATTGTTCCACCTGGTCTAAGTACCTTATATTTTCTGTTGGGTACTACAGACCCTGCGTGTAGCATAGTATACTATTACATAATGCAATTAAAACCTGGTCCTTCATTAGCGTTTTTGAATAGGCAGTTTTATTTCTACGCTAAACTTTAGCGTTTACTCAAGAGAAAATTGTACAAAATATTGTATATTTACGATATCTTAACTAGTCTACATATTATATTCAGGATATTCTAAAACCGCAATGTAAAATTTAAATAAATATAAGTTTAACACCAAATGAATAATAAAATAGCTTTAATTTTTTACAAATACAATGAAAAACAAAAGCTAGAAGCAAGAAGTATAGTGACGCCGATTAGATTTAAAAAATCTTCCATTATAATCGTAAGATTTGTATCGTCTGTAAAAAGGATGGAGGGGCGGCGCGGGGAAAAAATTGAAACGCCAAAATGTTTTATGTAGCTGAATGCGGAATGCGAAAGATGAAAACATGACTAATCTCAGCATTAAAAGAAGCGGCCTTCATCAAATCTATACCGCTAGTAAAATACTGCTGGTGGAATCATAAGTATACAATTGAGGCTATCATAAAAGAGCAGCTTGGCATAAATATAACATAAAACATAATTAAAGAGGATCAGGAAATACCTTACCTCTACCATTAGAAAACACCCAAGTCGATTGATGATCATACGACGATAAATTGCCTTCTTGCTCCTAGCACTGCTGACATCAACGGATTTTCCGGCCAGTTTCTTTGCTATTGATCCGGAAGACTTACTGTATATAATATTAAAGAAGTATGTCTCAAAGTGATTTTCAGGAACTTTTTTGGATTCAATAGCCTTTTCTCTTCTGATTTTGATAAAGGTAATAAACAAACTCGACCAAAATGGATGTATTTTTATCTTGCAGAGAGATGGCTGTTGAGGGTATCTTGAGAACGGTCGTTCCAGAGGAGTGAAATGTGAGAAATTTTACAATGGTTCTTCCATCAGCTAAATCTCCTAGATTTTATTTTCACGTTTACCCGTCTTCTTATTTATTTTGCACCGGATGTTACAACACCGGTTCTCCAACATCTTCTGCCGCACTTGAAACTTCTTTTGAGGTACAGTGACAATAGGGTGAAAACTGATATTGTTCTGCAATTGATCTAGATACATCTTCACTACCACTTGTACGCAGATTTAGCATTTGACCCGCCACCTTAATACATACAATCCCTCGAGTAGTAGTGAAATAGGGAAAGTGATGTGAAACCCGTTACTATTGTTCTACTATTGATCTAGGTATCTCATCACTTCCGATTTGTACATATAACGTTCGACACGTCACTTTATAAAAAGGATATTACAAAGATCTGCAGAGGAAAATTTATGACAATCTTTTCAATAAATGTCATTCATTATACACTGAAGGTTAGAGCACCGATTCTCGAACATCTTTTGCTGTTCTTGAGTACTGTCCTTTGGGTGATAGTGAAAATGGTAGCAAAGCTCTGACTGTCGTTCTACTATTGATCTAGGGATATCTTCATCCGACCTGAACACAGATTTAACTTTTCACCCGTCACATAATTATTCACAGGATACAGCACAAATTCTCGAACATCTTCCTACTTGGATACCGTCCATTAAGAAAATAGTGATAAAGGTGTGACAATTGTTGGTATCGTTGTTCGATGTATCTAGTTTATCTTTATTTCCAACTTTTAGATTTACTTTTGACCCGTCATCTTATTATATACAGGATATTACACATCTTCCGTAGTTTTTGACCATCTTCTTCCAAACTTGAGTCCTTTAAGTAAAATGAAAGAGTGAAAGCTGTATGAAAACTGTTACTATTGTTCTACTATTGGTCTAGGTATCTCATCACTTCCGAATTGTACATATAACGTTCGATACGTCACCTTATATAAAAGGTATTACCCAGATCTGCAGAGGATAATTTATGAGAATCTTTTCAATCAATTTATGACCCGTCTCATGTTACAGCACCGGTTCTCGAACATCGCCGTACTTGAGTACCTTCCTTTGAGTGATAGTGAAAATGGTGTCAAAACTCTTACTGTTGTTCTACTATTGATCTAGGTATATCTTCATCCGACCTGAACACAGATTTAACTGTTGACCCGTCTCCTAATTATTCAGAAAATACAATAACAGTTCTCGAACATCATCTGCTTACTTGGGTACCATCCTTGGATTAACAGTGATAATGATGTTGTTATTTCTCCCATTTATCTAGGTATATCTATATTTCCGAATTTTACGTAGATTTACCGTCTGACCCATCACCTTATTATATACAGGGTATTACTCATCTTCGATAGTTTTTGACAGTCTCCTGCCGTGCTTGTGTCTTTTGAAAATACCATTGATCTAGGTACATCTTCGTTTCAATATTGCTCGTTGAATTATCATAAGTCTCGTGTATTTATTATAAAAGGTTTTTATAGATGTGCTCAAGAAGGTTTAGACCGATTTTCGACTATGTTTGTACCATCTTTAGTGAAACATGAAAAAAAAAATTGACCCTTGGTGTAAGAATGTAAAGAGTGCACCGTACGGAATATTACTATAGTTTAAAATCTATTGCGTGAATTGTATTATAGCGATTATTCTATCATTCGTGTGAAAAGAAATAAAATGACGTTGCGCAATGCAATTTCACTTCCGGCTCATCCGTAGTGTCTATGACTGCTCCGATTCCTTATATGGATGGTGTTCCAGTTGATCCTGGATATCTATATTTCTTCTCTTTCGAATTTTAACATTCCGTTTTAGAGCTAATCGTGGAAACTGTAATCTAAGCTGATTAATACTGCTCGATTGTCGCTATTGTTCCATAACGGGTTGTAATAAAATATCAACCCCCTTTTGTATTCTGCCGGCTGAATCCACCCCCATCTCGCTGCTGCCATCTATTTGAGCACAATTTAAACCCTGTTCAAAACAGAGGGTCATGCTTAAATTCTTCGCCCTTAGCAACAATTGTTCAAAACAGACGAACGCCTAGTACAGAGGTGGTATTTGATTTTTTTTACCGAGAGACTTTTTAAATAAGAAAAAGTATTTGTGTTTTAAGTTGAAATTTTGATCCGGAGTAAGCGTTGACCCCGTTAAATCCCTCAGGACGTTCTATTTCTATGGCATAAATAATGAATTGGGGTCAACTGATGGGTCCAGTTTCAATTTAACTTTTCATTGAAGTGACATTTTAGAAATACTTGGGTTCGCTTACCTCTCCCTGTGGTATTCTTCTACGATAGAGTCATCGTCAAATTCGCTGAAATCTGGAAGAGAATCACCCTTGAAACTCGTATTGCCTAAGCTGTTGTGTAAATCAGAGTTCATGATTTTCGCTCTATGCACTGTATTAATAAAGGGGTTTCCCGCACTGGGTACGCTCGTCGTCCTCAGTGGCGATCGGGTTTTCACTGGTCAGAAAGCAGAAGCGGAGGATCAAAACGCGTCAAGCCTTTAAACTTACAAAACGTAAATAAAGCATTCGTTAAGCCGAGAGAGAGACAGAGAATAACAAGACGGAGCTTCGGACTGACCAGTGAACATCGACTTGGATCGATTCTTCCAACTCGACTTGGGATCGATCAACCCAACAGAACATTGGCAATGAGGAGCTCAACGATAAACTTTCGAAAAACTACACATACGGCAGTTTAAGAAAACATTTAACATGGATATGTTTTTGGGTTGGATTAAAAAAACAACCCCCTCAACATTTTGTTAGTATAAAAAAAGGATCAATAAATGAATTGTAAATTCAACAAATATCTTGAAGTTACTCTTATATTCAAGCAGGTCTCATCTACAGCTAAGATGAGGATTTAACAAAATTTGGGCTGGCTTAATGTTAAATTACAACATCCCATTAAAAGCTAAACTCGATATATTTAATGATGTCTCTAGGTTTATTCTGTTCTATGCATGCCAAATTTGAACATAACAACAGTATGACTTAGTTGAGAAATTTCTGAATTTTTTTTATCAAACAGCTTTTTGGCTTCCCATTCTTACTCCCAGAATCCTAGCTAAATATTGTATTTACAGTGATCCACGAACCTATTGATGGTATCTACACTGAGGCTTCACTTTAAGTATGTCCTGAAAATTCTTAATCTTCCTAGTTCCCATCTTCTAAAAATTACTGCTCTTGAGATTATAAAACAACACGTTCTAGTTCTCCCACAGGATACTCTATTTTCTAAATATTCCACCCCACATTACTTAAATGTTTATAATATTTCCGAATGGAAACGGATTCTTTTTTTTTTTTTTTTTTGCAAAGATCAGTGTACTTCTTCAGGAAGAGTCTGTGATGCTCCGACACTCGTGTTTTGCCCTTTTTAAAAAAAGGATGGAACTCCACAATCACTCCATCATTCATAATTTCTCGTGTTTTGCTTTATAGAGATCTCGATCATACAGTTTCCCACTGCCATTTATTGTCTGACTCTAATCAGCATGTGATTCTGGGTGATTTGCGGTGGGTTTTTAAAATTAGGTGCAATCTAATTTGGTTAAATTACACCCCTGGATGGAAGCGCCTTTTGCCCTATGATCTCTATGTAACTCATAATGTTAGAAAGTATATGTTGCATTTCTTAGTAGAATGCACAATTTTAAAAGAAATTAGTAGCAGTTCCCTAACTAGAGATTAACTAATTACTAAGCTAAATTCTGACTCAGACCGCATTTGTAAAACATTACAGACATGCATGGTAATACAGATATATTTATGTTAAAGAACTAAATTTTGTTTTTTGATTAGTGAGGTACAATTTAATTTCAATTTTTTATTATCTGTTTTATTTTACTTTTGGCTTTACTTTCATGTTTTTTTATTTTTTTCTTCTTCTTTCACTTTTTGTATTATTCTGTTCTTTTGTGTTTTATTTCTTTTCATACACTTCTGGCAGACAGAATTTTCTATGCTGTACTGTGCTTACTGTGTAGTTATTTTATGTTACTGGATTATAACAAATAAAGTACTATAATATATTATGTATTGCAAGTGATAATGTACTATTATTATTATATTGCAATACAGGTTCATGATTTCACGATGTAGAATAGGAGAAGAATATTTATTTTTATTTATTTATTTTTTAAAATAAAAACTAATTAAAAGGTGGAAAGTTTTGTTAATAGAATGTAATTTTACAATTCCTGATTGGAGAGTTTTTCAAATATCAATGTTTTAACCTCTAGGCAGTGCAATACAATGCATCAATATGTTTATTGGTAATAGACCTGAGTGTGGACTGTGGGTTCAGAAAAGACTTAATTCTGATCAGCACCAACCTGTGCTTGGTTAACGTAGTTTATTGTTGCTTAAAGGATTCTTGACTTGAACTTAACTTCAAGATATTTGCGGTAGTCATCCCCAAACATATTTGTCAGTTAATTCTAACTGTTTTAGCCAAGCTCACTAATGAAGATGATAGGATGCCTGCTATCTGACATACCAAAGAAGGGAAGATAGATCAGGGTGATGGGAAAGGACCAAACTATAGGTTCATCATCTCACTGACCTCATAATTTGAAAATACACTTGATCGTCACTGATCATTGTATATTGTTCACTAAGAATTAAATAGTAATAAATTCTACACATGCCAGGTAAACAAGCACACAACTGCAAAGGCCTAGACATAAAAAATACCTGAATTTTACAGAATCTATAAAAAGATGAAATTATTAAAAACTTACACAGTTCCTTTGCCTAGCTTTCATGAAATATATCTCCTTCATTAGTACTATGAACATACAATTAATAATTTAAAAGATTAACAAACTATGTAGTTATTTTATTTTATATTATTGTATTATAACAAATAAAGTACTATTATATATTATATGGCGCAAGTGACAAAGCATTATTATTGCAATACTGGTTTATAATTTCATGGTGTAAAACAGGGTAGGATTTTTTTTTAACGCCGTTAAAAGTCGGAAAGTTTTGTCAAAAAGAGAATGTAATTTTAAAATTCACAATTGGAGGGTTTTTCAAATATCGATGTTTTAACCTCTTGGTAATGCAATGTATTGCATCGATACTTTAGAAAGACAAATTGTTGGAAGTGTCCATTTTTGGCTGTTGTCTGCTTACAAAGTAACACCAAAGTATAAACAAAATGAAATAATTTCTAGATAAATGATCTGAATGTATAAAAACTGGAACGACAAGATGATTATACATAGGCAAATTCCCCTTGTATATTATCAATATGGCCGGTGGATCAGTCTTAAAATCAATATGGATGCCTGATGTTTAGGATATAAAATGAACTTGTAGTTGGAAAGTTTTTTTTTAAATGATTTTATTACACATTTTCGAGTTCAGGTGAGCCCGGTTTCGAGGAAGTCGCAGTTGTAAACAAAACTAGAAAGGAAAGGGTAAATCAAGTGATAAATTCCAGTACGGAAAATGAAATGGGCTGTTCAGATATTCATCGTCTCGGCCTTGTGTCTAGTTATAAAGAGTTTGGACGATCCGTACAAAGTTCTCGGCATACACAGGTCCTCCAGCGTTCCCGAGATCAGAAAAGCGTACAAGCAGCTGGCTAAAGAATGGTGAGTCCCTTAGTCTTACGGTCCGGGTGATGTCTTGTTTTCCCTTCGATGTCATTGATAATGAGTCATGAGGATGTCAGTGATAACGTTGGGAGGTAAAAACGTTCAGAAAAAAATATAGTGATAACGTCCTCCCATTCATAAACTTGCTTTTCTCCTGGGCCACGTGCTCTACGGCCGGGGTATCCGGGCCGATTTTATTCTCACCTCCTTTAGGGTTTTATTTGTACTTTTCTAGGTTAAATACAAAAATAAACGCTTAATCCATTTTTTCTGTCCTTGATTGCGGCTTTTATGAATGTTTGCTTGTACAGTTTCAAATTTTAACATTCAACGGGATAAAGGATCTTTTTTTTAAATAAATTTTCAGATTGCAATAAAAGCTTGAAAGACTAAAAACGAAAAAGAGAACAATTCCAAAAAATCAAGCTGAACCATCCCACTTGCATGTACCCCTGATAATAAATATTTACATTATACTGAATAAACATACATTAATAGGTAGAACTTATCAATGCATAGGCATGTTATATTACTCTGAAACCCTATAAATTATTTTCAAGTTCTCAGAGAACAATAAGCTTTATGTGCTAAGAAAAACAATCATAAAATAAGTTTAATTTGTAACATCTATTTATTGCTAAAGACTAGGGTGCACAGACTGTCTGCAATGGAGCTATGGTGCTTGTCTGCTTAAAAAAAATTCTGCTCACAGAATTTGTCAATGTTATCCATGGCATTTGTTTATCAGGTGACATATGAAAGGAAATAAATTATTCTCCATAATCAGGAGACTGAGTAGTTAGGGCATCCCACTCGTATCTGCGACACTAACAGTTGAACTATTCTTAAATAATCTTAAGCAAAATGGTGTTCGGATTGCACTAAGAAGAATGGCCTTACAATAGACATGCTTGTTGGTAGTAGACCAGAGTGTATGGATTCAAAAAAGACTTTTCTCATGAGCATCGGCTTGTGCTTGGTTAACAAAATTACTTGTTTTTACTGAGAGTATTCTTACTCTCTAATTGCATAAAATACAACAAGGCGATGTTGAATATGCTGTGTACTAAGGAGAACAATCATAGGTTTAATTTGTCTTATCTTGAATCACTATTTATTGGTAAAGACTAGGGTGCATAGATTCTCTGCAATGGAGCCATGGTGCTCGTCTGGTTAAAAGAAATAGTGTCTCACAGAACATGTCAAAGTTCTCCATAACGTTCGTTTATCGGGCAACATATGAAAGGAAATAAATTGTTCTCTATAATCAGGAGACAATGATAGCTGAGTAGTTAGGGCATCCTACTCCTATTTGCCACACTAATGGTTGTTCTATTCTTCATAAACTTCAGCAAAATATGTTTGGCATGCTTGTATTGCACTAAGAAGAATTGTCATATAATAGACATGCTTATTGGTAGTAGACTAGAGTGTGCGAATTCAAAAAAGACTTATTTCTCACCAGCATTGGCCAGTGCTCGGTTAACAAGATTACTTGTTTTTACTGAAAGGATTCTTGACTCTCAAATTGCATAAAATACAACAAGGCGATGTTGAATATGCTATATACTGAGAAGGACAATCATAAAATAGGTTTAATTTGTTAACTTACTATTCATTGCTAAAGATTAGGGTGCACAGACTCTCTACGATGGTCCAGCCTACAATGGAGCCATGGTGCTCGTCTGGTTAAAAAAAAATGTGTCTCACAGAACTTGTTAAAGTTTTCCATGACGTTTGTTTATCAGGCGACATATGACAGGAAATAAATTATTCTCGATAATCAGAGACAATGGTATCTGAGTAGTTAGGGCATCTCACTCGTATTTACCACACTAATGGTTCTGCGTTCGAATCCCAGCACAGCACATGTAATCTTATTTGGTAATAATTTGTAAAAAATATGTATAGCGATTTGACCCCTTGTCTGTGACACGTGTCAGGAATTTGGACATTAGGCCTTCAGTATGGCAGGAATTACTTTATTTTACTATTCTTCATAATATTCAGCAAAATGGCGTTTGTATTACATTGAGAAGAATGGCGATGCAATAGACATGCTTGTTGGTAGTGGACCAGAGTGTGCAAATTCATAAAAGTCTTATTTCTGATCAGCAGGCCGATGCTTGGTTAACAAAATTACATGGTTTTTGTTGATAGGATTTTTGACCCTCACATTGCATAAAATGCAACAAGGCAATGGTGAACATGCTTCATGCACTGAGAAGATCAATCCTACAAATGTTTTAAGTTCTAAAATGTCTACTTATAATTTGATCCTCACCGATCATCTGGTCAGCCTATCCTCGCTGGGTTGTACTGTCACCCATCATCATTTCAACATTTCACTGCCTTCAAAGTGCCTGTCTGAATTAAGGCCATGAAACTTATGACAAACATGTTATGAATAGACAGTAAAGACACACTGAAGATGGCAAAATGCCGAAACTGATATGACATACCAACTCTGCAGGAATAGGCAGAGCAAGAGGATTGGTAATGATCAATTTAGGGATTAGGTTCATCACCATGTAGACCAAAGGAGGAAATCTCATGATTGCCTAAACTTAATATTTGTTGCTAGAAGACCAGGGTGCATGGATTCTCTAAAAAAGCTTACATTTGTTCAGCCATGGTGTTTCTCTTAAAAATATCTCATATCACACAGAAGTTGTTTTTGTTCTCCATGGCACTTGTTCATTAGCCAACATACGAATGGAATTGTTCTCCATAATCAGAGGACCATGGTGACTGAGTGGTTAGGTTGTCCAACTCATATTTAACACTTAACGGTTCTGAGTTGGAATACTAGCAAATCAGCAAATGTAAATTTAATTGATAATAAAGGTTAAGTGGTTTAACCACTAGTCTACAACACTCAACTGGTAGGTGGACAATAAGCCCTCTTGTATGAGAGGAATTGCTTTATTTTACTATTATCCATAATCTCCAGCAAAATAGTGTTTAACCTGCTTATCATGCACCAAGATTGGTCATACAATAGAAATACTGTTTATTGGTGTACTGTGTGTGTGGTTTCAGAAAAGACTTAATTCTGATCAGCACCAGCCTGTGCGTGGTTAACATAATCACTTGTTGCTTAGAGGCTTCTTGACTTGAACTTAACTTGAAGATATTTATGGTTTGGTCATTCCCAAACATCTTGGTCGGCCAATTTTTACTGTTTTAGTCAAGCCCACTTCCTAAGTTGGTAAGATACCTGGCATCTGGAGATCTGGCATACCAAAGAAGTTTAGATAGATCAGGGTGATGGGAAAGGACCAAACTATAGGTTCATCACCTCACTGTCTCACAATTTGAAGATACTTGATTTTCACTGATCATTGTGTAATCACCTGAATTTTACAGAATCTGTAAAACGATCAAATTATTAAAAAAATTACTCAGTTCCTTTGCCTAGCTTTCATGAAATATATCTCCTTCATTAGAATTATGAAATTATAATTATAGTTTAAAAGTTTAACATATTGGCCATCTATTTATCATGTTTAAACCTATGGTTTTTAAGCTCATTGAAATTAAGTTAGTATTCTGTTGAACCAAATCGAATATGATCAGTACATTATATAACAAAAATATTATTTGGTGTAATTTTTACAGGCATCCTGACAAAAATGATGATCCAGCTGCCGCTGATAAATTTGTCGAAATCACACAAGCATACGAACTTCTTTCCGATCCAGAAAGAAGAAGGCTTTTTGATACTTTTGGCCGAGTGGAGGAATCCCGGCCACGCCCCGAACCCCAGTATAGGCAGTATGATCCTTTCGACGACATATTCGCTGGTTCAGGATTTAGATTTAGGTTCTCCGATAGAGATATCACACTCTTCCACAAACTTTCTATAACGTCTAGGTAAATTTTTTTGAAAATGATTTTTGTTATAATTATTTCATTTTGTAAAACTAATTTGACCAAATTGTTTTAGGGCTTATGAAAATATCCTTGTACCAAAAAGTTATAGGACTCCGCATTTGCTTCTTTTCTACTCCGACTGGTGTTTCCCATGTCTCCAAGTAGAGCCAGTATGGAAAAGGATAATGGAAGAGCTCGAGCCAATCGGTGTCGGTATCGCGACGGTTCATGCGGAAAATGAAAAAGGGCTGGCTAGAAAAGTTGGTGTACCTTCCCTACCTTGTCTCATCCTCCTTTCTGATGGGAGGTCAAGCGTTTACAAAGAATCATTGTTCAGTATACAGAAAGTTGTTGGTTAGTATTAAAAAAAAAATAGTATTTTACTCTCAGATATAGGCCATCTTAAGATTTTTTATGAATTAGAGATGGTTATCTTTATATTATTAAAAATTAATATCTTTTTCAGAATTTGTACGAAACAAAATGCCTTATAAGATGGTGCCTCAGATAAATGATGAAAATGTGGATGTTTTTCTTTCCGGGTGGGTTGACAATAAAGTCCGCGCTCTTGTTTTTCAAAGGTCAGATCCTTTACGTCTCCGCTACCTTCTGACAGCCTTTTACCACAGGGATCGAGTCGCTTTTGGGTAATATAAACATATATTTTTTTGTTTAAAATCTCCATTAATAAATAATACGTTTTTTTTTTTATAATTGTATTTCAGTTATGTTCCATTGGGGCCAAATATGTTAAAAGTCAGAGAAAAATATCAAGTATCGAGCGAGCAAGATGCGCTGCTCGTCTTCAATGAAATCACAGAAAGACCGGTTGCTTCTGTCAGTATGGCTGACATACCAGTTCATACAATGCACGATGTCATAAACAATAACAATTATCTACTACTACCCAGGCTCTCATCCCAGGTACGGTAAATCAGACTTTTCGCAGTGACATTTAATAATCATTTTTATTTTTAATTAATTATTTTTTTGATTTTTTTAGGCTTTATTGGATGCATTATGTCCAGCTGGTATGTCTTCTACAAGAAAGAGATTGTGTGTAGTTTTGGTATGTCAAGATACCCCCAGTCATGACCCTCACCGCCAATCATTAAGACGATTTGCCCTCGAGTCTCATTATTCAAAAGAGCGAGTAAGATTTATGTACATTTATCAAGAGCGGCAACCCCAATTCATCAGCGCTTTGACATCTGGTACGTACATTTAAAATTTCCGCCTTGAATAAATAAATAATCTATTGTTATTGCAGGGAAAAATAGCCCTGACGAGCCACTTCTACACGTGGCTATACTTTGTAGAAGGGATTCGTCACATGTCAAGTATGAATGGATCAGCAGTCAGGAAACTTGGGAAAGTTATAACAACACAAAACAACACTTGGAATCAGCGATTGATAGAGTTCTGCACACTACGCAAGTATGTTTTCTTAAAATCTCATTATATTATATACGAATTGTAGAAATATAAATTTACATTTTATACAGCAATCATTACTGAATGAAGCTGTTATCGGAGAGCTGATTGATGAACACACGCAGGGTATTATGTCCAAACTCTTAACAAGGTTCCTCCAGACGATTGATGCACTTCAAGAGTCATTAGGAAAGGAGCATATCCTTCCAGCTTTATCCGTACTAGCGACAATTATGATCATAATAGGAGCAGGGTATTGCATGAACTACCTAATGTGAGTAACATTAGAATTTAATTCCTTTATTCTAACTTCTGTATCATTGTAAAAATGCAATGCGACTAATCGATTTTGGGTTTTTTTGTTAAATAATAAATCTTGTTTACAGGAAAGAAATGCTAGAAAGCATAGAGAACTCTTTCAAAGTGGATAACAGACAATTACAAAAATTCAAAAAATAAATCAAATACAATTTTTTAAATTGATCGCTGGTTATTATTTGTTTTAAATTTAGTGCAGTCGGCATATTACTAGAGTATAGTTTTCTTCAAAATAAAATACCTCTTTAAAAATTATATTATCATCTAAAACTATTTTCAAGTCAAAGATTATATTATACGAAGGAATATATGAGAAAATATTAGGATTACTTTACAATTAATTAAGGTTTTTAGTTGAGATGAAAAAAAGTTAATGGTACGAGAGGGATTCGAACCCTATTATAAAGTATGGTCAAGCAGACCACGAAAATAGTGAATTTAATGAATTAAAATGAAGTACACTTCACTAAAGCTCTCCATCGCCATTTCAATTGTCGTCGAGAATCCAAACCGATTACACGACATTTGAAAAATGGCAAAAGGAGGGAAAACTCATAAGGTGGGGTTGAGATGGGGAGTTGATGTCCGAGTGGATCGAGGTCATGATAGCTCAGATGGTAGAGTAGAGGCGTATCTAGCCGAAGGTCGTGGGTTCGAATCCCTCTCGTGCCATTAACTTTTTTTCATCTCAACTAAAAACCTTAATTAATTGTAAAGTATTAATTGGTCAAGCGGACCACGGAAATAGTGAATTTAGGGAATTAGGAATACTATAAAGTATATGTAATTCTCAGGTATAATTGATTTGAACTTTGAAATATATTACAGGCAAAAAGTTCACACTGTTTTACTTTAATAATCGCTATGTGTGACTACTCAAGATTGTAGAGGCCACCTTTACATAATCATGGAGGCAGCATGAGTGAAATAAAGGTTAAGGGCTTTCAAATTCAATTTATTGATTATTCGGAGATCATGAGATGCGTTTTGGTGTGATGTAGGTTTCAGAAAAATATTTTCTTTATCAATGCCAACGTTTCGATCTTTATTAAGAACATCATCAGGGCCTAGGATTTACAAACTTCGTTTAAATTTAACAAATACATGCAGGATGTGGAAAAAAGTGAATTTATTATACAATGCAAAAAAATATTTTGTATATTCAATCAAAGTATTTCTACTCACTCAAGGTGTTTGTTTTCTGCGTAATTGTGCCATTCTTGTGTGTCACCTCACGATCTCCAAATAATCATCGACTAACGGTCACTAATCACTACACAATTCTATTTATTGTTGTATCGCATACAATGAAAAAATCAATTTTTCCTAAAAACATTAATTTATAGTATTGCAATACACAATAATATACAATATGGTTTACATAGAAAACTTATATAAAAAAAAATCCATTTCTCTCTGCATGCGGTTCTCTCACGCTGCCTGCACGATTATGGATATCCGGCCACAACAATTAAATAGTCTTACGTACTGATTATTATAGCAAAACCAATACTTATAAAGGTTGACTGGTATATTGTTTAATTAATTTAGCCAATATATCTTCAACAGAAAGTTTTAATTAAGGGATTTGTTTAAATAGTGTGTGGGTGTGTGCTTTTTTTAAATAATAAAAATAGAGATTGTTACTCAAATAGGATATTCACAAGTTTCTTTTTTAATTATCCCGATTCAACACTTTTTTAAGGACGTGTGAATCATGTAGTATATCATACAATTATTTTTATTCTTCCTTATAAAAACTTATTTATGTACTTATTGTGATTTTTAGGAAATTGGAGGAAGCTAGAGTACAAGGCGAGTGTGGCGGTATGACAAATGGCATCAAGACAAATGGCTACCAGCCGCAGCTCAAAATTCATGAAATGCGGGCAGAAACGTACAACGGTTTAGTAAGGCTACTCAGGCCTGGCTGTAGGACCATTCTTCTGCTCGTCGATTCTCAGTCGAAACCGAAGCTCGTGCCGAAATTCCACTCGCACGTTTGGCCATATCGAAAGTAATAAAAGTTATTAAATATATTGAAGAACTGTTTTTATTGGTTTGTTTTTATTAGGAATAAAACGTTGATGTTTGCCATACTGAACTTGGAAAGAGGGTTGAGCTGGTATACAGAAATTTTAAGCCAGAGTCTCCCCGAGCCGAGAGACCTGAGCATCAATCCCAAAAACTGTATCGGAACGGTCTTAGCTCTCAACGGATTAAGGAAATATTTTTGCATATACCATGCTAAACACCCTGAAGGCAGCTATTGGGGAAAATCGGTAAGCCATTTTCGTTTATTTGAAAAACTTCCCAATCCATTGAAATTAAAAAAATTCATTTTTCAGCGAATGAAGAGAATAATGAATAACCAGTTGGGTGTAAAAACATCAGGAGGATTTATAGGATTTGACGATACTACATCAGAGAGTGATCTTTCAGATGTAGAACAAGGACTTCACCCAGAGCCAGTATGTAATAAATTGCTTGAAAATATTTATATAAACAAGTCAGGAACTTTTTTATACTTATCTTTAATATTCAGAATATTTTTTCCCTTGCTTTGATACATACATGGCCAACTGAAGTCATTGGTTAGAAGAGACCGAGAGCTCTCTCTTATAGACTTTTCATTTTTTAACATTTGGTTCCTCTTTTACATTGGGAGGATGTGGATAAAAACCACTTATATCGCTTTAAAGCCCTGTGGAAAAATTCGCACTAAGCACACCCTCTCCTCCACCCAATGCCTTGTGGGCAGGCTTCCTGGTACATTAATTACTGTTTAAACAGTACCAATCTACAAATCCACTCTGCTATGTTGTAAAAAAAATTATAATAAAAAGGCATTTACATATACCACCATTGCTTGATGCCAATAAGCTCTCATAGCTAAAATGTTTAAAAGGTTCTCTTTTTGTCTTATATTCAGGACAGGAAAAAAAACAGTTTCATGTTCTGTGACTCATCACATATGGAACAATTAGGAACAAAATTAGGCAACGATCTAAGTAAGGTCCACAAATATCGTGATTTGCTTAGGCGTATTTAGGCTGAAAAAAATTGTTTACTATTGCCACTATTGTACCAAATGCCTCAGACTTTTACCCATTATTATTATTATTTAAGGACGTTTGTCATCAGATTTTTGCAATTTGAAATCAATAAAACTTCTGCCCTTTGTTACTCATTTATTTAAACAGTCAGTGATTTTGTTGCTTTTTATGCCACTGTCACACCCAAAATTAAAGCAGATTGGGGTTGACTCTCGAGGGGAAATGGCTCAGCTAGGGGCGGGAGTGACCCCTCCCCGGGCTGGATTCCTTGATTGTGGAAGTGACGGGAGAGGTGCTGGGCTTTCAGATGTTCCCGAGATGCTGATTAGAAGAGAAGAGCTACAAAAGAATCTATTAAGGTCAAATAGATAAATTCATATTGGTGTGATCTTTTGTTTAATTGAGTTGGAATAATATTTAACTTTTATTTAATGTTTTTTGGTTCTAATTGAATTTTGGTGAAGGGCGATTCTGGGCTTTATAGTGTACCAGTTTTTAAAGGTGTTGGGGGTTTGTTTCTTGGGGTATAAAATATACAAACAATTACAAATTCCCTAGGATAATTTGGGACTTGTTTTCTTTTGCTTATTTTAATGTGGGGATAGGTCAATCCACATAAGCAATCCCTCTCTGACCATATCGGTCCAGATCATCACACCACAATGCCTTCTACACCAGCAAAAAATAAAGTTTTTTCTGTCAGAGAAAGGGTCAAAGTCATACAAGAAAAGAAAATTGGTGTCTCTGCACATTCAAATTCAATTCACTTTTTATTCACTTATACATGCTAAATATTTTTTCTGTAATTTCATCATTACCAATCATATTGGTACATCCTCACTGGGTTTGTCTGCCAGAAGTGTTTTAACATTTTGCTATCTTCAGTTTGCCTGTCCACAGAAGGAAACCTCACTATTTAATATTTTTTCTAAAGGCACATACACACGAAAGACAACCAACGCTTTGTTGACTTTTATTTGCATAGTATGTACATTGTGTTCCCGAGTACTCATCGTCAACAAGACAAGCGGATCTTTAACGTCCGCACCTGGCACATGGCCTTATCAGACGTTTTGATTCTCAAGATGAGAGCTGACGCACTTCTGCATACAACGGAATGGTGTTACCGCCGCAGCATTGGTGTAGAGGTTTCCCAGCCCCTAAGGGCCAGTACAACCACGCTCTCCGCTTGCCCACTCCGAATGGTCGGGCCCGCATTGTGCATCGGGTCGTATGACGCACGCGAGGGGCTAACAGGCCGAAATATATCGCCCCTCCCCCTGCATACTCCCTAGATAGAGAAGGCCACTATATCTCTCTGAGTATAGAGGCTCCCCCAGCGTAGAAACTTCCAGGAACGCCCCCAGCAGCGGTTTAGTTTAAAGTGGAATTGCTAACCACCCCCTACTTGAGCACCGCCTACGGTAAGGTCTCTTATCGAGCTCAGCCTACACCTGTCACGCGCATTCGAGGGACGCCATAGGCTCAGCCTAGGTGGTCCGATCCTTCGCTTCCCCAAGGGTACCACGCCGGTCATACACACAACAATGCAAAGCATACTCGAGTCAAAGAAACCGACTCACTACCCGCTTCCATTCGCTTACTTACGCATTCGAGGGACTATAGCATGATCATTGCGTCCTCAACGCTTACATGCTGTCGTCCGGTCGCAACGTCTCCCGTGAGGCCGGGGGGTTTTATGTTGGCCATACGCAAGCTTCACGAAGTCACAAATAGAAGACAGCCTCTGTCTAAGTTCCAGCCAGGGGCGTCACCACCACGAATCCATTCCCAGTGTAACTAGGGCTGAATTTGAAACTTTTCAGTTACCCCGTGGTACAGATGGTCATACACCCTCCCCCGTCTTTGCAGACAGGATCTAGTGCACTGGCCCTCATGTGACTCTGCTAAGGCACCTGCCGCCCATGCCGACCCTTAGGCCGACACGAGTACAGCCTTGTGCTTTAGAGAGGTTGCCATGCCCTCTGGGCTGCACCTTTATTTTGTGCCCGGATACCCCCCTTGTAACCAAGGGTTAGGAGGGGGTCACAGGATAGAATGAGGAGCTCGGATTGAGAAAAAGGGCCGTGGATGAGAACACGAGTTGAGCCGTTTCGGGGTCTCGAGTCTCAAACCACACTATACCACCCGTTGTCGCCGTAGTTCCACATAAAATGGGCCACGACTCCCAGGGTGGGTACATAGTGTGTACAGGAGGCGAATCAGAGCCAATGAAACTGTTGGCCTTGGTTGAGATTCAGACTTCTAGTGGTAACATCACAAGGGTTGATATTGGTGGCTGTGATTTCACATGGCCGAACCCCCTGGTTTGATGAGGATGAACCAAGGATGGCCAATTTGTTGGCAACCAACATTTTTCGTTCGTCGAGGTTTACCTGGTGTGTATGTGCCTTAATAAGCAAGCAAAATCCATTCCTGAGTTGTTTCCGCTTGTGGGGAGTTCGACTGTATTTTGTTTATTCGTACATGTATTCTAAAATGACATGGAACTTTACAGCAATAAAACATAATCAAATCAAAAATCAGTTAATAGTGGATGAAATGTAAACCATTGCACATATTTACTCACCTTGTCTTTTTCGAGTGTGTAAAATGTGCTCTAATACCATTTATATTTCCATGATTTATAGTTTTTGTGGTCAACATTTTTCATGACACCTTGATATAAAAAGTGCAGATCGTATTCAGTATATTGTACGAGTGGAATAATTGATTTTGAGCGTCTTGTCCACCCTACCACAAAAAGAGGGTGTATTTTTACTTCTTAGAGTTACCAAAATTGAAGATAGATTTTGTTTACACGCTTGAAAAATTAATATTTTCAATTTTTTTAGCCTAGCAAATATGGAGATGTGTTGTTTGTTGAAAATCTCTTGGACGGCTTACCAAACTGGCTCGACAGGCTGTTTGAAGGGACTACTCATCGGTACTACCTCAATTATTGGCCGGATTTTGGGGCGAAGTGAATTAACTTTTTTTTCTACAAAGAAAAAAAAACAACATTGTGATGATGTCAGCGTTTGGAGTCAACCCTCCTTAGTCCGCCCCTTCCCTTCCTTCTGATCCATAAAAATTCCTGATTAAAGATCTCGCTCAAAAAATGAATCTTAACAAACAAGTAAAGGAACATCCTCTCGGATAAAAAGCCTTAATGAGTGATAATGAAAGTATATTTAATCGACGAGAGAACTTTTGGCTGTTTTAGACACTAAAGAAAAAGATACTTCCATTTTTGTTTTTGCTTTGCAGTAATTTAAAATGTACTGTTGACAGATAATTTTAATAAGATAAATTTTTAGTGATTTAGTAAATCAAAAGCACTATAAGATTAGAAGCATTAAAATAAATTTTTAGCACCGATGAATAGGGCTTTAAACTTTTTTGAAGTAAGATTTTTGACTAAACAGATTATCCATTATTAAAAAAAAGTTACAAGAAAATTGTGATTGTTCATAAATAGACATTTGAATTTTTTTCTTTCTAAACACGAACTTTTCAGCATTCCTAAATAAAATATGAAATAATCTTTCTTTTTTTAATTATATTTAGTCAATATGTAATCAACTGTTTAATTTTTTTATTATCGTTGTGTATTAAAATAGTCAAGTAGTTATACAATTTTAGCCAAATTTTCGGTGGGTTTTTTCGAGGTTGGTAATTTTTGTACTATTTGTAAATAATCATTGTCTTTTTATAAAATAATAATTTATGAATATATTAATTTATCTCCCTTGATGATTTCCATCACATATCAAATCAATGAAAAATCGTAAATTCGTTCTAGCATTTTCTCTGGGTTGGGAAGAAATTGTTGGCCAAAACAAAAACAAAAAAAGCAACAAGTAAGAAAGACATTTTTCTAGGTTATTTTTCCTCTCTGGTTGAGTAAATCCTTTATTTTTAATTAATTGTGGAATTAGTTATTTGGTTTGAAAAAACATTTTATTTTTTACTTATGAATACTTTTAGATGGTATGTTATACATAGAACTCCCTCCCCCATTATAAAATGCAGAAATGAAAGTTCTGTCATCACAATTTAATCTACCTCCTTTCTTTTTCTCTTCCTTTTATTTCTTTTATACCTAGGTGAATTAAAACTTGGGGAATTTGATGTTTTTGTGTTTTAAAAATTTAAAAAAGGACCTTCCTTTTATTATTTATTTATTTATTTAAATTATAATTTTTTAAATTAAGTTAAAAGTGTAATAAGGGCAAACTGAACTTTAGTTTGCAATTTCTCGATTGTTTGCAATCTTCAATCAGAATTTTAAACGCTGTTATGTATATCATAAATGAAATTATTAAATTTTAACACTGCAGTAAAATTAACTCAATAAAATACTGACATGTAATGATCCAATATAAAAATTTGTTACATGTTTTATGCAATTTTCATTTTAAGAAACAAATAATTTTATCAATTAAAAATACAGAACCATTGCATAATTTGTACTAAAACAGAAATTGCCCAAAGAATGTTATAACGATTATTATAAAACTGGTCAATTTTCTGTGATAAATTAGTGATTTCTCTCATAATTGCCTACATTTTTGTTTTAAGTTTGTTACTTATTTTTATTACAAAAAATCATTTTGTGAAATCACAGCATTTCTTCACGATTATAGAGAAAAATATAAAAAAGTAATCTTGCACTAAAAGCTAGTCATTAGCAAAATAAATTCATATTTCTATAATGAATTTTAAAAAAAGCTACTGTATCAATGCTGTCTATTATGCAGTTTTAATTATTTATCCTAGTCATTATTGATATGAAAGACGATTGTTTAATTATTAGATTTTTCTAATTGTGTTGTGCCATATTTTGTTGATTTGTTATGCTTTTGAGTGTACAGAAAACCAAACAAGCTTATATTTTCAAAAATAAAAATGGATTTTGTACATCCAAAACAAATATGTTATATTTCTTGGTCGAAACAAAAATGTTAAAAGAGTTGTGCTTCTTAGTGAGGATACAGCTGGAAATTTTATTTATTATTCATTAAATGAATTAATTGATAGCATTTTCTTTAATCATTCCAACCCTAAAATTCCTTTACTCTGACTTTTTTATGCACCTGACCAACCGTTGAACTGGTTAGAGCTAACCACCACATTTCACCAAAAGAAAAACATTTCTCTGTGTTAGCAGTGTTACATTTTCTGTCAGTTGAAAATAAGAGAATTTTGTATGGAGAAAATAAAATACTTTTTTACAACGTTTAATTTATTTTGTAATGAATCAAGGATCTTCAGAACAGGTACAAACGGTATCATCTTCTGGTGGGGGAACAGGGCATGTACAAGTACCTTGTTTGACTTGAGTGAAAGTGAGAAGCGGTGGCCATGTGAATCGGTTTGGACTGGAAGAACATTTCTGAGGTGAAGGCATTGTATTGTTATTGTATTCTGTTTTTGGACAAGTGCAGATTCCTTCAGAGATAGGAGGTGGACATACGCAGATTATTGGAGGTTGACTGGTCGGTGGTTTACACGTACATCTGTCATCTGGAATAGGAGCTTTTTCTGGAACGGGACACTGAGGCAATGGCGCAGCTGGGGTGATACATTCAGTACCTTTTTCTATTTTCGGTACAACCGGTGGAGGTGGAGGCGGCGGTGGTGGTTCACATATTTTCGGTTCAGCAGGTATGCATGGAGGACATTCACATTTTGGTGGTGGGGGTGGCGGAGGTGGTGGTTCACAGAGAGGCAATTTAGGTTCTTCTACAGGTGGAGGTGGCGGTGGTGGAGGAGGTGGTGGTGCAACCTCTTGAGGTTTTTGTTCAGGAGGTGGCGGCGGCGGTGGCGGTGCTGGTGGGGGTTCAATGCAAGGGTCATATATTTCCGCCGGTATTTCCTTAATTTCAGGAAGGCATTCTATAGGCGGTGGGGTTTCTTCTTCTAAATAAATGCATTCCACCTCTGTCTGAAATTATATGACTGATGATTATTGAGCAAAAACATAATCTTATTAAGAAGAAATTCACATTATCTATTAATAATAAAATTATATAAGTGTAAAGTACATGCATATACCCAATTTAACTTGTATAAACAGTGAAAAATCTAAATTTAAAAAAGAAATGTAATAGTACAATGTTTTGACTTTTTTTTCTAAATAGACAAATTATAGGCTTAGATGCTTGATCTTTATAACTAAGTTCTTATGTTCTGCTGACTTTTAGAGAAATTATTATAAAAAGGACAAACGAGTAAAACAAATACAAAGAAACAACCACAGAATGGTAAAATTCTATCCGACAAATATAGCTCGGAAACTAGGATAATCACAGATTATTGTGATATGAATATTCTGAATCAGTTTGCAACTTTTTTCTTAAACATGAAATGTTACATATATTTTGTGTAATTTCGTAGTTATAAAATGTGTTTTTTATTTATAATAGTGCAAAATAAAAAATGAATAAATTATAAATAATTGACAATAAACATTAGATTTTAAGGAACTTACTTTCTTTTTTTCTCGGTCACGGAAAAGCCCTCTGCATCTTTTAAGCGACCATGTTATTCCGAGGCCAGTTCCAAGTAAAATCGGTGTCTCTTTAAACAAAAAAAATTATAGTTAATAACAAATTTAGACCTGATCGAAAAACATTCACCTGTTCCAAGAACCACTGTACCAATCGCTCCGACTATAGTGCCCAAACCTACAAATTATAATGATTATAAATTCTTTGATTTTTCGTTAAACAGCTTACATGGTTGATAATCTCCTTACCTATGGTCCAAGAGCTCGCCCTCACACAACTATCCCATGCTTCGTCAGGAGACCCAGTAGGGGCACAAGATGGTGGTTTACTCATTTTTTACGTACACTTCTCCTACATAAAAAAAACATTAGTAACAAATTAGCAAGGGCAGCATCAATTAACTAAAATTTTAAAATTAAAATTGAGGATCCTAAATAAAGTAAAATCTTAATATAAACTAATAGGATTACAATTTCTTGAGTGAAGTAGGAATGGTACCACCATAATTTAATAGACAAACTAACCAATGTCAGAATTTGGCCAGGGTTAAAAAAATTCACTATTATTTCATAAATTTCTCTTGCTTGAGCATCATATGTATATGTAAAATAATACAAAGAAAAAAACCAAATCATGAATGCTTGACCTTATCAGCCAAAATTAAAATTACATTATAATACAACATTAAAATTTAACTACTAGACTCTTTTGTTTGACCTACACATCTTGCTCAACAAACAACAGTTTGCAGAGAGAGTGCAAAATGTAAAATAAAGTTTTTACATATAGGACCAACCTATGTTATACATTCCAAAGTAATAATTTTCATCATGCTGGCCTAATTTATTCATTCATCCTTCAATTTGTGGCCGATTCTGAAGTGTCCTTGATGTTGTCATGGCTTGAAAGTGTTGAAACTTAATAAATTAGTTATAAGAAATCAATTTTAAAGTATAGAAAATAAAAGATATGAAGAAATGTTTAATATCATCATATGTTTTCACATTGGCAAGTATCCATTAAACCATTTATATCTTCATGGTGTTGCTTGTTGGAAAATTTTGCAAACTTGTCTAAAAACTTTTTAAAAACAGAGATAATTGAGTGTATTAAAGTTTAAAACAAATCTATTGTTTTAAAATTGATTTTCTGATTACAAGCAATGCAACTATTCATCAAATATGTGCAATGTGTTACAAATTTATAAAAACTAGAACTGGTTGTTCTATTTCTTGAAGATTTATATTTATTATTGTTTAAAATAAAATTTATAATTGGTGATGTATACAATAATTGAATTTGAAGTTCAGTGTACACAAAATCAGTATGAAGTTTTGCAAGTTCTGGCCATTTTTTCCAAATTTAAGCTAATTTGGAAAAGCTATTGTTAAACGCTTTGAATCTGCGAATTTATGAGTCTGCAGCTTGATCACCTCTAATCATGCTGATCTGGTGTATTTCACTTTCTTCTTTATTTTCTTATAGGGACATTTCAGCATTTCAATAACTTCAGTGGCTTGTTTATTTTATTGTTAGCAGTGTTTTTTTGTGAGGTGTTGAAACCTCAGAAATTGTTAAATAAACTATATTCCCCAATACATCACTTCTGGAGTCCCTCAAGAGTCCCACTTCCGTATTTTGCTGTTACATTAATGACTTCCCTAAATCTAAAATATTGTTCCCATCATCGATCACATCAGGTTGCTATTGTAAGAATTCAGGAGGACTTAATGTCAATTAGATCCTGGGTTGCTGAAAATGGGTTTAACTTGAACGTTGAAAGACCCAGGATATTTTGTTTGGATCCAGCTCCTTCTTTTATTCCTTACCTTATTTCCCTATATTTACAATTAACAATCACCCTATTTCCTCCTGACCTACCATCCAGAACCTTGGAATTGTTCTTGATCAGACCTTGTCCTATAAGCCCCATATCTTCCAGTTGTTGCTTTTCCGCTCTCCATCAGTTCTGGCATACCCACCTCCCTTTTAGCATGCTTAAATTTAGTTTCCTCCCTCACTCACCCTCAATTTGATTACAGATGTGTTGGGTAAAAGGGACTCACTGAGGACCTAAACGACTAACGAACTGTTTGTATGTTTTTTCCTTGGCTCCCTATTGAGATCCTACTTGACTTCCTCGGCTCCATCCACCATGATATTTTCTCATTCTCCTTCCCACATAATGATCTCCTCATCTTCATTTCTTCTGTATACTCCCATCAAACTCGCACTCATCATTCCTCATCATCACTAACCACCTCCTGTCCAAGTGGCTCTTTTATTGTCCTTACAACTTAGCACCAATTCTTAGTTATCTTTTTTTTTTAGTTTAATTTCCATTGAAGAAGATTTTGATTTTGTATGTATATATTTTTGTAAATAGAACACAAAAGAAAGAAAAAATATTATACAATGATCATTTTTTGTATGAGTGTAAAATAAACATGACAGCAAACATAGCTGTCTGCTGTAAGTTCAATTCTTAAGAAATCTTTATACAAAGAAATAAAATCAAAAATACATAAATATCAAATTACAATTGTGAAAAGAATATCAAACCATAAAACAAAGGATTTAAATTAAAATAAAACAAACTCCTTGCAAGTATCAAATAAATTAAAAATACTTTTGGACTAAAACAGAAAATTAAAACTGGAATTCTACAACAATGTTTTCTTATATTTCGACCTCAACAGTTTAACTTATGATTTTTCCTTCTCGATGGTGGGATAATAGGTCATCTGAAAAAAACAACTAGTTTTTCTTTCAATCCACAACATTTCGGATTTATTTTAATCCTTCCTTAGGTGAGTTTTGGGCATTAATCACTGCGTTAACTCATCTGAGGAAGGATTAAAATAAATCCGAACGTTGTGGATTGAAAGAAAACTGGTTGTTGTTTTTTTGAGATGACCTATTATCCCACCTTCGAGAAGGAAAAATCATAAGAATATTACAACCAAAAATCTCCAGTATCTCCAGGCTGCTTTGCAAAATTCTTAGTTTTTTCCAGCCACTACTACTTAACCGCGTTTTCCCGTCCTGCCTTTTTAAATTCATCAAGGACCAGGCACATGCAAAGATTGGAGCCTGTCCTCCTCATTCATGTTGTACATCGTGAATATTGCCGGCTTGCCTCTAACTTCATCATAAAGTTTATGATGCCAATTATAATAAATAACAAATTGAACATCTATATTCCAAGCTAACATTAATTATTATCTAAAAGGTAATAACAGGCATAAATATAAAAGACATTACAGTTATTAACATGTTTATTTTTAAACAGCATTTGTAGAAATTACAATAAACGAATTCTTGTTTTTAACTTTCAATAGGAAAGGCAGTTTTTCTTTTGTAAACCATTTTTTTAATTAGCTATGTACAGAAAAACAATACGTATCTACAACCCAATCTTGACGTCTAAAATTATAACATGAGGATTTATTATGGCCTGAGGCGAAATTATGAACGCAATGTCATAACACTGTTCAGTTCCCTTTCGCAATTACCATAGGCTAGACCGAAACCAAAGCCAGCACCCATTATAACTGGCCACTTTTTTCCTGAAAAATACATTTAAAAAACAAATGTCAGTGAAATCAACTTAAATTATCTACACAAGTATTGTAAATGTAAGTTGGTACATATGTGATATTGAAAACTTTCCTTTTAAGCCCAGTCCAGCATGGCTCTCATATAACTTATATTCAACCCATGTTTACTTGTAATAGTCTCATAAACTAATTCTTGTCATAGTAAAACTAAGAATGAAGAAGTTTTTTGGCTAAATACTGTTCAATTTTTTTACTGGAAAATAGTGAAAACCAAATACTGGGACTAATCCCATACTCTAGGAAATCTTCACCTGTCGACAATTAGTCAGTTGAACACGAATTCCAGGGGATTATCTAGCCTTAGGCCAACTGAAAAATTGCCAAGCTAAAACCTTAAATAAAAATTAAGCTGAAAAATCCAACTATCCCACAGGCAGGGCATGTCCTTCTAATGAGCTTTATTAGGATTAATAATCGCTCTTTGTTATCTTATTAAGCAGCAGCAAAATCCATGTTTTCAGATAACTTCATTCATAATGGATTCGGATATTGCTTGTGGTATCTGAGTTGGGAGATGTAAGGAAGAAGATGAGTGCAAACCTTTGGAGATCACTGAAAACCTAGTCAGGCTGTGCTAAACCTAATCAGACAATTTTTAAACTTTTGAAACCTTTTTAAATATATTCAGACAATCAAACAGCTATAAAGGCACTAAATTGCCCTAGAAAAACCCAACAAGGTTATAGTGGGTTCTGGGACATGAAGGAATTGGCAAGGAATGAACATGGTCTAGTATGGGGAATATCTTATTCGTTGTGTCCTTTTTAAACAATATAAATTTCAGCATCTCTTTCCTTGACAGAAAATACCAATAATACTACGTATTTATGCTATTTCCAGAAAGTGTTCTACCGACTGCACCAGTTATAAACTACCACTATTGGAGTTTTTAAATGTTTATTTTAGATCAATTAAAACTATTGCTGATAGGTGCTTGACTACAGCTCATAACTGAATCATGGCTGTTGAGGAGAAGGAAAACAAGCATTATTCTAGAAAGGGAGAATGCAGCTTTGCATATTTATCTATAACTCATTAAATTGTTATATATAAGATAATTTTTAATTTAGTACAGACACATTGAAGATGGTGAAAAGATGAAACATATCTGACAGACCAACCTTGTGAGGATAGACAGACCAAAAATGATCGGTAATGGTCAAATTAAAGAAAAAATACATATTTGCGTTATTAATTTTCTTTTACTCATAGACTTGAATAACGTCAACTTTTTTCTTTCCGCGCTCATCTTCAAATCTGTTTGTTACAATCAAAATTTGAGAAGCGGAAACTAGCTGACTAAGCTGAAAAGTGAAAACTGACAAAGAAAAAAAACCAAAGCATTCACTGTCCACTTTGACTTTTAAAATTTTTCCATATGATTTTTTGAAATAATTTTTTGTTGTTTTATTATTACAATTTGTACATTTTGGAGATGTACACTTATCAAGATAATCTACATTTAACTTTTAAATTTAAAAAAATAAATATAGCAGAAAGAAGGAAAATTTGAAAAAAGTAGGTTGAGACGAGGAATCCAACTGGATCAAAGTTGTTAGCTCAAGTGGTTCAAGCATTAGCATATTTAGCCAAAGGTTGTCGGTTCGAATCCTGCTTGTGACACTAACTTTTTCGTCTTAACCAACACCTTAAATAATTAAATATAAAACAAATTAAATGCTGAAGAATATTCTTGCCCATGCGGTTTGTCGATGCAAAATGGTCATATATTTTTTGAAAACAGCTATATATATAATGAAAAATTAAAAAATAAATAAATGTAGATGATGATGATGGGTGTAAATTCCCGAAATGTCTACAAATGTAATGTAGAAACAAAACAACAAAAAATTATTAAAAAATAAATAAATGTAGATAATGATGATGGGTGTAAATTCCCGAAATGTCTACAAATGTAATGTAAAAACAAAACAACAAAAACCATATAAATGCGCCCGAACCCAAAGAAAGCGGATGTCAATGTTTTTCGTTTGTTTAATTTCCCATAGATTTTGGGCTACCCATATTACTAAATGATTTATATCAAATTTTAAATTAAGGTTCCCTAAGCTTTGTAATGTATTTGTTGAATCTGACAAAATTAGTATGTTCTCACCATTGACTTCATTAGCGCCTACATATTCTACTGCTTTAAAAATTGCAAAAAGGTCAGCTGAATATATGCTAAACCCTGGAGGAAGCCTAATCATAGCTTTTTTTCTGTGGGTCAAACCAGCCACATCCCATACTGTCTCTGGTCTTTGAACCATCAGTAAAAATAAAATAGGGTCTTGAAGGACATATAGCATGGATGTCACTAAGGAAGACAGAATTCACTGCCATCAGAGGAATTTTGGAATAATCCTTAAGTGATGCCAAGAACAATTTGGTGTAGGGAACCTCATATTCCAATAGAAAACTTGGCCAGATATTATTTTTGTATAGGGACAAATTTAACAGTCTCAAGGTACGACTGTGTTGGGGGGGGGGTCTTTACCCAGAATGTTTTAGTCAAGACATTTATACTCAGGAATGCTATTTTGTTAAACAATGTGCTATATGTTGCCAACAATTTTACCACAAAGTTTGCTGTAAGCTTTTTGATCCGAATTTCAAGAGGATTCACAACTTGCTATGTCTAAAACCTTTATTGGGTGTCAGATAAACAGCCCAAACATTTCCGCAGACACTTATTTCTAAACGCTTTTACTTTATTGATATGGACGTTACTTGCACTACCATAAAAGATAGACCAAAATCCAACGTGCTCTGGAAACACACCCTAAAGAACATCAAAGATATGTTGGGGTCTGCCCCCATCTTGTTACTGAAAAACACCATGACCTTATCATATATTACATTTTAGGTATAACTATTTGTATATATTTAATAAATGGTTTTCATACATTCATACAAAATAAATAAAGTAGGGCAGTCTGAATTATTTATGATTTATTGAAAAGCACAAGTACTCCATTACTATACTTACTCTTGAAAAGCATTAGAGAAGAAACACCACCTACTACGACCCCGGCAGCTAAAAATTTAATAAAATTATATTAAAATTTATAAGAATACATAAAAAATCATAAAAGTGTGGAAAAAATTAATTATTTACCAAATTTAATAAGGCCGTCGGCCAGACACCTGTCCCACCTTCTTCCCAATTCGTTTTCTGTGTAAACCGGCTTGGCCATCTTCTGTCGGAAAGAAGATTGGACTTAGGAGGAAAATTCAAGAGAAAATAAACTCCTCAGAGCCACTGTAAGGTTACAAAGAAGGTTCTTAAGACCGTGTTGATAAAAGATCAATATTGTTTTTAAAAAGACAAGATTTCCTGTATTGTAAAAGTTTATAATTTAAAAAAAAATATTAAAACTTAGGTGATATTTTAGTTAGTGGGAGGATATTTTTTTTACAAGTATTCAGTTGGAAAATATAAGGTTACGCACTGGTTAAAACATAGCAAAACAGAAGGAAGAAGGTTGGAGTTGTTGACATTTTGACAATGGGCAGTACTAAAAGAAGCCGTACCGAGGATGAAGAAAGAAAGCGTAAGAAGAAGAAGAAGCACGAGAAGAAAAAGAAGTCGAAGAAGAAACGCTCCCGGTCGTCTTCTTCTGACCGCCAAGAACGTAAAAAGAAAAAGGACAAGAAAAAAAATCGAGACGAGCCGGTCGGACCTTTACCTCCGGCCGAGCTGGCCCTCGAGGTGAAAAAATCCTTCGCACCTATGACGAAAGAAGACTGGGAGAAGAAGCAGAGCGTCGTAAGGAAGGTGTACGACGAACAATCCGGGAGGTACCGACTTGTCAAAGGTGACGGTGAAATCATAGAAGAAATCGTCAGCAAAGACAGACACAAAGAAATAAACAAGCAGGCGACACAAGGAGATGGAGAGTATTTTCAGTCTGTCATTTCAAAGGGTGCCAACAAGTGATTGCTTAAATATAAATAATACAGCAAAAAAGTATAAATCATTTAGACTATTTGTTATAAATATAACGCAAATTCGTTAAACAATTTATGCCAAAAAAAACTGTACTTGACAAGGTGGCAAACAAGTGTCATTGATTCATAATTAAAGTACATTATATTGGTAAAAATTCTAACAATTTTTTTTTTAATTGTATTATAAATAACCATTTACAACTTTTGAATTGAATTAATTAATTATACTTTTTATCTAAGGTCTTGTTTAAGATGAAAAAGTTAGTGTCATGAGCGGTATTGATTCCATGACCTTTGGCTGGTAGCCTGGTAGCAGTCATGGGTTCAGTCCCACTCGTAACACTAATTTTTCATCTTGACCAAGACCTTATATAAAAATTCTAATTAATTTAAATAATTAATATGGTCAATTATGATTGCAAAACGTATATGGATTAATTAAATCCATTATGTTTAATTTAATGGTCTGATTGACCGAATTATTTCTTTTGATTAATTGTTCTTTTTATGTAAGGTCTTGGTTGAAATGGATTAATATTGAATTAAAGTAGGGTGATTCCTTAAAAAATACCATTTTTCTTGCTAATTTCAAAATAGTTTATTTTGACATAAATCGTTCTTTAAACATTTCAAAGTTGTGTTTTAATGTTTGTTGCCGCCTTGAGGCCAGTTGTTGGATTCCTTCACAATTTGGGAAATGGTGAATGATGGAGTGAGTGTGGTGTTCAATCTTTTTTTTTTTTTTTACTTATTAAAAAAACCTTATTTGGGTGTAGAACGGAAGAATTCTACACTTTGGACCTCATCCAGAGAATTAATTTTTCCCTTGAAGATAATGGGCCATGGAAGGTAGGTAGGTAGAGGTGGTAGTCAGAAGGTGCTAAGTCAGGACAATCAGATAGAGGGAAAAGCTCGATTCCAACCAATTCTGTAATTTTTCTTTTGTGCAACGATAAGTGTGTGGTCGGGCGATATCTCATTGAAACAAAACTCAATTTCTATTTTAAGATCGTTTTTAAAGTGTTTTTCAGGAACATACAACTATTTCAAAATATCATTTTATTACAGCGATATCGATTTCAGGGGCACCGGCCTCCCCTTTCAGTCTACAGGACTACAGGCCTTCCTGTAGACTAAAGAGGGGAGGCTGGTGCCCCCGAAATTGATTCGCTGTAATAAAATGATATTTTGAAATGATTGTATGTTCCTGAAAAACATTTCAAAAACGATCTTAAAATAAGCGACAACCACAAAGGAAGAAGAGAATAATCAATTTCTATTTAGTAATCCTGGGTAATGCTGGGTCAAAACATCATATGTTTTTATGATACGTAGTACTCTATTTCCTCCTTCAACCTTTTCATCTATTATACAATAACCTAATTGAGGGTTGATGGGGTAGTCAATATTGTGACCCTTTCATGCTAATAAATACATTCTCTCCCAACACAAACTAGGTGACAAAAAATATCAGTACTATATGCATGAAACAACCCTGTTAATTCCATGAATCCGATCAGGGGACCCAGTTATCACTGTGCTCTAGCACTATTCTCATATCGGATGGCTATATGTTCCCTATATGGAACCAAGGGATTGCACCCTTCAATTAGGTTGGACACATCAATCAACCTTTCTCTACAGGCTGAACCAGGCTTTGACCCAAAAGTGTCTGTGTGTCAACCTCGCATGGCCCATTCTTAATCTGACCTGGTTATATATCCAGAGGTGATTGTACTAGTAATATATAGTAAAAAAAATCCCTATAAAATGTGGTTCAATTTTTGACCATTTTATATATATTTATGGAAAACAACTGTGACTAAACATAATCATTTTGTTGTATTATTAATTATTCATGATTATGAGGCTGAAGTACTAAACAATCCTCATTCTTAAAAATAATATTGTATATTCAACATATATAGTCTTCTTAAAATAATATTATTACACGCCAATTTGATTTTTTCACTTTTTCCACTACCCTAAAGTTTTTTAATTTCATCAAAACCCATAATTGAATAAGTTGGGAAAGCCACTTATTAATAATTAATATATTAGGTAGAACTAATAAAAACAAAACTAAAGGATTACTGGCAACTGTGGCATGAAACGGAAATAAGTATAATACAAATAAAAAAATAAGAATAATTTAAAAGTCCTCCATAAATAAAATACGTTTAAATAAGCGATAATATTTATTGTTATAACAATAGTAAATTTATACTAAACCAATATTAGAACATTATAGTAATCTAATTTAATATAATAAGAAACAAGTTTCATTAGCACGGAGCGTATGCCCACTATTCTATATATTATGAATATAAACCACAAAGTTTAATTTAAGAATAAGAAAAAGTTTAAGCCAAATTCTGTAAAAATAAAATAAATATGCAAATGAACACTCAAAATATTAAATAAAATAATGGTTTAATTCATTGTGCAAAAAAAAGGCTTTTTCATAATATATTTATTTTAAATGGTACAAATTGGGCTTTAAGCCCCCTTACATGTACATAAATTAGAAATAAATCAAGTTTTAAACATAAAATGTAATAAAATATACAAAACAATAGGGAACATTAATATATTCTTTAAAATATTAATTAATTATAATTGAATGATGAAACTACATTACGAAAGAAAAGCAGAAAGAGAAAAAAAGGAAATGGGGAAAAAGAAATGATTCATGTCATTTTTAAAAACTCAGATGTCATGGACCTGAAACAAGCCCACAAGAAAGCAGAACGTACTTCGCGGAGAAGCAAATCCCATAGTTTTGAGACCCTGCAATTTTGAAGGATAAGGCTAAAGGTTTAGAGGAGTGTTGAAGGCTTGGGATATGATTGGTGCATTTGGATAAGGAATGAGTGAGAAAAAGTTTATAGATATTGAGGACATTTATTTTATTTAATTTTACATATATATATATTAAAGGTATGTGTTTAGAATGTTATGGTTGCTAAAACCATTAATAGGACATTATTAAGAGGAAATATTATCCCTTTAAAATGTGTACTTTTGCCACTTTTGAAGATTTAGAGAAATAATAATATAATATTATAAAATTAGAAGTTTTTTTTTTTTTTAAACTGCCTTTATGTGACTTTTAATGAGCCCTCTATTATTTCATCACTTATTTTGTTTTGTTTGTTGAGTTCTGAGTTCTAACAGTGGCGCTACTTTCAAGCATTGATAAGGCTCGAAACCTTTTCTGTTTTCTATTCTGATTCCTCTGTAACAGTTTTGCACTACCTGAGTAACCCGTATTGGAAATTCCTTAAGTTTTTGGATGCCAGAACTTGAAAGTACTTAGCAAAATGTTTTCCTCTATTTGCCGGACGATAAAGCACGATTACAAACTTTACTGCAGCACACGTGGGTTTTCATACTTTTCAATATAACATTTGTGTTATAATTATTATAATTTAATTAGTAATAATACACTCAAAGATTTAAAAAAAAATACCGAACACTTGTATTTATTTGTTTATTTAACATAATAACTAGGTTTAAAGATTAATAGTTGATTTAAAACTTAAGCACAACCTTTATAATTTGTTAGTAATTAGGAAGGAGCTGGAGTTTTCGGAATGAACCCAAAGACTAAACTGGCGGTAAACTTAGGTAAATATGCTACAGTTTTCCAGTCTGAAATCATAGCAACTGCGCCAGGGAAATAAAAATGCTAGGAATACATTCCCGGAAAATAGCCATCTTCTCTGACAGTCAGACAGCATTAAAGGCCCTAGCCTCATGAAGATGAAGGCAAAGAATGTTTGGAACTGCATTGAGGCCCTGACGGATATCAGCGACAAAAATTACCTGGTTAAAAGGTTGACATGTTGGCCAAAAAGCGAGCCAACATGGACTCTCTGGGACCTGAACCCTACTATGGCTTAGCATCCTGCCACAAAAGACGATACATCTTAAAATGGTTCCTTAATGAGTTCAAAACCTGGTGGAACAGCACCACAGGAATGAGTCACGTGAAGAGATTCATAGAAGGACCATCCACAAAACCTACATAAGAATTACTGGAAGGCAACCGAACTAGGATTCTGATTGGACTCCTGACAGGATATTGGCACTTAAGAAAGCGGATAGGAGTGAAGAGAGAAGAAACACTGTGCAGATACTTCCAGGAAGAGTAAGAGACCGCAGAATGCAATTTATGTTTCTTTGAAGGTCTAAGTAGGTTCGAGTTATTGCACCTAGGACAAGAAAACCGCAAAGCAAGATCGTGTACTAAGGAGCTGCTGGCATAGCTATGGAGGCTGATTAACAATATGAAGCTGACCAGTGAGTTAGAAAAATCAGGGGAGCACAATAGATCTAGCGAATACGATAGCGAAGTTCATCATTTATAATTCAGTTTTGAGTTTTGCCAAAACATTTTTTAAAAAAATTATAACCTTGTGATTTATCTGATTTTAACTTGAAACATTTCAAACATTCAGACTGTAACTACATCTTGTCAAATTGTTTTTAGTGAGGGTGTGCTCCTCATTGGCTGTGGAAAATCAACATTACAAAACCAGTGATCCCGATAGTTCAGTGAACCTCAACCAGAGATTCCTGTATCCGGAATTCCTCCCCGATCCAACTGTCAAATGGAGGAATTCGATAAGGGAAAAGTTAGAAAGGACGGATATGTTGAAGCGAAGGATGCATATAGACATACCAGAATTTTATGTAGGTCTGTATAATCCATATTTTTTCTTTTATTAATTAATTTTATTTTTTATATTAATGTGTGGTGATTGGTGACCGTTAATCGATATTTATTTAGAAATCGTGAGATGCGGTCTGGTGTGATGTAGGTTTCAGAAAAACATTTTCTTTATCTTTGAGAGTGAGAGAGGGCACTGTCGACACGACACGTAAGAATGGCACAATTACACAGAAGACAAACACTTTGAGCCCTGAAGATGATCTCAATAAAGATTGAAACGTTGGCACGATAAAGAAAATGTTTTTCTGAAACCTACATCACACCAGACCGCATCTCACGATTTCTAAATAAATTTTATATTAATTTTGTACGTATATGTGATTAATGATATTGTTCTATAATGTATACATGTTAAATTTAGTCTTAATAACACAAAAATGAAGTTGTGAAAACAGCAAATGAAAAATCCTTGTTTCTTGTATTCATTAAACTACAAGAACCAGATTTTCTCCCTTAGATGACTTAATTTCAAAAATAAAACTAATTTTTCCATAAATTCAGAATTTTTCCTCATTTATCAATATTTTATGTGGGTAAAAAGATACAGGACAATTTGAAATATATTTAGGAAATTATTCTTTAAATAAATATTTTTTATGTGAACAGTTTGTATAGTAAATAAACTTTTTGTTGTTTTAAATGTTTATTTTTTTGTGTGTATTACTGGTATTGTTTGTTATTACGGTTTACTTCAAATAAATGTTGTTGTGGTAAATATTGAACTTTTGAAAGAGCCAAGTGCTATAGTGAGCAATAAACTTATTACATTTATTTATTTTGTCAAATTAAATATAATAAAGTTCAAATTCAGTTTTATCCTATGCCATAGTACTTAAAATTACATTAATTGTTAGTCGTACTTGTACTTCCACAAAACCCTTATCTATTAGTGGAAGTATATTTTGTTATAAAACCTGCATATTTTCTCATTGTCAGATAAAAGAAATTATTTATTAAAAATGCATTATTTCAAAATATTCACTTCAGTGGTATTCTTTTTTATATTTATGTATTACTCAACTATAATTTTAGGCACCATTATGTCTGTGACTTCTTCGAACCCTCATTCATCATCAAAAATGACTACATTCATGGGCATCTGCATTCAGAGGCGAGGATGCGGACTTAGAGCAGAGTTCACTGTTAGGAATGTAATCGACCATCTTGGTACCGAAATATGTTACCAATTATATGATCCAAAAATTAGAAAAATTGAAGTGATCAAGTTGGAAAAAAGGCTCGACAGCGAGCTTTTATACTTGAGGGATGCTTTGCCGGAATATAGCACTTTCCCTGTCGATATGGAACCCGAAATATTGCCGGAAGGCAGTCCAGTTCCTGTTAACACTACAAAGGTGAGTTTAAAGTATAATTGAGTGTTTTGTTATTTATTTTGTATACTTATATTTATTTTTTGTTATTAAAGGTGATAATGAAACCAAGACCTTGGTGTGGAAGATGGGAAAGAACGGATTTCGAAGGGATTGATCGAGAACATTTAATGACTTTGATCTCCGACAAAATGAAAATGCAAATTCCAAAACATAAAACACCTTGGGAAAAATACGATTTGATGAAAATATACAGGTAAAATTTGATCGTTACTTTTTTTTTCTCTTCAAAAATGGAAACATTAATTTTCATTTTTTAAAGAAATACAATACCCGAGGAAGAACAGAAAGAAATCTTCGCAGAGGTCAATTCTTCACTTCATCAAGTAGAACTTACAAAGAGGAAAGAAAAAAGGAAGAGAATGTTTACTAGACCTGTTAAATCAGCGTAAAACATTTTAGTAAACATTACGTTTGTATATAATAGTATGTAGTATGATTGCATTAAATCACAAAACATGTTTGAATTGTAAAAAGTTTTTAATAAAATTTTGCTAATCTTATTTCTCTCTTTGTTTCTTAGTTTACTGTAAACACCATTCAAGTTTCAATTGTCAAATTCAAGCTGGTTTTTGTTTGTCAGATGTTTTTGGTTTTTCTTTCTTCATTTTAGTTCTATGTGTTTATTTTGTATTTTCTTTAATATCTACATATTGTTTGTTGACATGCAATAATAGGAAAGGAATGTAAAAATAACACAGAAGCAAAAATGTGGAGAGAAAAATGCTGAAACATGTATGGTAGGCAAGACAGCTAAACTAGGCAATATAAGATGATCAAAGATAATCATGAGGTAAAACACATAGATCATCATTTACTCGATTGTTTGCAACACAGCACTTTGCAGCTTAATCATCTATGATCATTTTTGTCTGCCTATTCTCACTATTCTCACTGGTTTTGTCTATCAAATAGGTTTTGCATGACGAAAGACTTTCCCTCCATCATAATTGCTCATATTTTTGTGGGTTGTTAATAGTATTGATGTGTATGTTCATTTTGTCTGTTAATTCTTGACGGCTGTGATTAGAAGTTGTTTGTGGTGGAATTTTGTGGAGTGCTGTTACATAAGATACTAAAAGTGCAAATGCAAAGATAAATTTAAAAAAATAATAGCTTATATTTTTAATTGTGATTTAATTAATTTAGTTTAAATTAAAATGAGAATCTCAATGACTTACAAGTGTAAATATTTAAGAAATGTTATTTGAAGGCCAAAAGGAAAGTTTTTCAAAATTACAGTGAACGTCTCATAATTGGAGGGAGTCAGAGACCTGTGAGTGGCCTTGAAATCTTTTCAACCTCCCACTCCCAACTTATGATCAGACATCATTCCCTTTCCCTCACTTGTCCCTACTCCCTCACAAGAGGCAGGTCTCCCTCCGGCTTCATTCATTCTTTCTACTTCGGCATATTTGAATGATAAGACTTCACTCGCTGTCAAATTGGAAAGTAAGTCTCCTTGAAACTTTGAAAGCACGTGGCAAGAAGTTCCGTGATCCGATCAATCATTAATCTAAGAAGGTGAATCTCATCAATTTATTTATTTCACGTTTTAATAATTTTCTTCGTCTTACTTCTTTCTTTTATCAAGTGGTATTCCGTTTTCTTTTTTATGTTCAAATAATTAGCACGTGATCATTTCTTAAAGATGGGACTTGCGGATTATAAAGAACTTGTTGGCTCTGCTGCTGGGTTTTGCACCGTAGCTCAAATTTTTGCACCAGTGTAAGTATACTTAACAATCATTTCATCTCCCTTGTGCCTAATTCTTGTAAAATTATTTTATTACTAATTTATACATTTCAGCAAATTAAACAAAAAAAGAATTCTGTAACAGTTAAATTTCAAAATTAAAATTGACTTTTAGATATATTTTAATTATTTCAGGCACTACTGTCAAATTTTTTTAAATGGATTTATAATTGCAACAAAATCCAATTATTATTTATCATTGAGTACATTACAGAAAAATTCCCAAGTAGTACAGTCTTACATAATAGTTAACAACATTTATATATCAATAATAAGAAATATGTATACAATTTATAACAAACAACATGCCAAGTACAAAGTAAAAAGAAAATCTGATACATAACACAATACATACAAAATATAAATCAATTGGTCGATCAGACCAAGAAATCTAATATAAACTTAACAGAAACACAATTATAGCAATAAATGACAATTTTAATTCAAATTTTTCTTAAAGGTATCAAATTTACAGCATAGAAACTCTATGCTGTCAAATTTACCATCAAAAGCCTGATAAAAAGAGATTGACCCACACTGACCCGAGTTTGATTAAATTCAGTATAAAACATATTAACATTTCTATTTCTTCTACTAGGAACCAGGAATTTTATTATTTTACTTAATTACTTTGGACAATAATAAATCCCATTCACCAAACATATGCCAAGGACCAAACTACGATTGTCAAGGGTCATGAGCCAGAACTCCTGAGCCCTTTTTCTTCCATCTGAGACCCATTTTAAAAACCATGTATTTTACGAAAAAAATTTTTTACCTTTTCCCATTTGATTGAATAAATCTGCAAATTCCAAGGAAATCAAACAGAAGTTTTTTTTACAGGCGATCTCAAATTTTCTTGAAGACCGACTCAGTCCCAACATTGCCAAGAACTGTGACACAAACTTCACAATTTCTTGACTTCACAGTTCTTGACAATGTTGGGACAGAGAAGGTTTTCAAGGAAATTTGACCTTGCCTGTAAAAAAACCTTAAATATATCAAAACGTTGACATATTTAAGTTTTTCCCTGATGATGATCTTAAAAAAGGTTGAAAGCTTGGCAATAACAACTGAATTTGCTATCTTCTTCAAGACCATACCTTGATCCAGAGTATTCGCGAGTGACAAAGTGGTCGATATTTCTAATACTAAAAAGATAAAATTAAAGTTGTGTAGAGAAAATGGTTTAAATCTTTGATGTGGCGTTTCAATTTTAAAAATGCTAAGATTTCCCTGAATCTATTAAAAAAATTTAAAAAAACTATTGTGAAATATGTAGCCATAATTGCCATAATTTTTTTACACAAATAAATGTTATTAATTTATTTTGCCAAGCTAGGTTCTAGGTTTGAATCCTGCAGATCGCATGGCTTTTTAATTGATGATAGAATGAAAAACGCATTGTCAAGTAGATTGACCCCTCCATGACCCCCAATGCATGTATGAATATATGACAGGAATTACTTAATAATAATAATAATTCATAACTTCCAGCATAATCAGTATAATTATGTAGTAGGTGGGATAATTTTTTTCTTAATATTGAGGGATTTTATTACCACAGACTTTATCAAGACCATAACTATGTATGTCCATTCATCAATTGGACTTAAATAGTCAAAAAAAGCACATATTTTATATGATAAGGATTTGAAATCAAACACTAGTAAGTAAGAAAGTTTGTTATGTCACTTAATAACCAATTTGAATGAAGAGATACCTTGGTAGCCGAGTGGTGCGCATTGACTTTTGGCTTGTAGGCTCCACGGTTGTGGGTTTGTTTCTCACCGTCATCCCAGGAATTTTCTATCATGCTTCCCAAACTATATATTATCAATCAATAAAAATACTATGGCTAGTATCAAAGACATAAAAGTCCATAGTAAAAAAAGTCTTATTAGTCTTAGACAAGAATATCTTTCTATTGGCATAAACAACATTGACTGATTAGAAAAAATGGCAGTACATGCAGTACCACTTGAGCTATCACAACTTCAAGTGGTTAGAGCAGCGGCGTATTGAGCCGAAGGTCGTGGGTTCGAAGCCTGTTTGCGACACTAATTTTTCCTCTCAACCAAAAACCTTAGATGAAAAGAATAATTAATTGGAATAATTAATATGGTCAATTAAGATCATTAAACAAATATGGACTGACACTTTTGTTTTCCAGTCTGACTGTCACAAAGTGATACTTTCTGCAATCAGCACTCATGGCCATTTCAGATATTTGCCTCTAATAGTATAAATATTATTATGAGGTCTGCGATGTGACTCGGACTAACATGTAGATTGATCATTTCTGATTGCCCTGGTCTGTCTATGTATGGTGCCAATGTTTCAGTATTTTGCCATCTTCATTGATTATTCTGTGTGTTATTTTGTCAGTGGCCTTTTATGTCAACATAGTAGCACACTAAATTGACAGGAAAAGAAATGTGTAAGCAAATTTATTTAATTGAGTTTATATTGAATACCTGAGACAATAACAAAAGGACATAATTGAAAAAAATAACACTAAGAATCAGCTACTGAAAATTAGGAAAACTTAGTCTAACCGATGAAGCCAGCAAGAATAGACCAGGAAGATCAAGAATGATTAAGCTACAAGTTCTTCATCCAACCCTCAAGCCACAATGTTTCACAGTAAATGCTTTTGCCCATCTTCCTGAGTTTATGGGTAAGCTCCATTTTTGAAAATAATGTTGTTGCTTGTCCAGCTTATGTTTTAGACTTTAACTCATTGACTGCGTTCTATGCCTGGCCATTTTCATTGTCCATGACAGAACCCAATTTATTATGTAAAATAACTTATATTTAAAAATATTGTAAATGATTTTTAAAATTTTATTACATTTGTCTAAATGATATACATTATATGACGCAACAGTTCCATCCCCCATGTAAATGATGTGGGTGACCCACAGGATGTTTGTTCAATTTGGGTGTGCAGTTGAATAAAAGTCATTTCAAATTTCTACAATATTTTTTTCTTACATAATCATACAAAAAGTTGAATAATTAATTAAAATAACAAAACACATGCACAGAAAAGCAAATTGTGTATTTTTCACAGGTTTTAAATATAAAAAAATCACTTCCAGTTGAAAAAAATTGAAAAAACCGTAGCGGTGACACTTTTGCTCTTTATGAGGCGAAGTGGAGGGAGAGTTTAAAAAGAATAAATGGAAGGATGCAGGCCATATCTCTATTACAACCAAAAGGACAGCTGGCATGGTGCCCATGCTGCGTCTTATGCAGTCAACGTGTTTGTCAAGTTCTTAATATGTGCATTGGTAAAAGACTCTTATATCATCGAAGAAAGTATGCAATATTTTCCATTTCTAGAAATCAACCATCGCGTCTTGTAGAAGAAACATTTTGCCCAATTTTATTAATAGCCTTGTCATGTCTAAAAATAGTATTATTTAAAAAAAATTATCATCCTGCTATAATACGTAAAAATACAGTTTGATAAATCATTAGGGTGGGTATCTTGAATCTAATTTTTACAGTGGCTCATAATTTTTTGCATTCCTTACCTATAGACCGTAAGGAGTTCATACAAATTGAATTAATGCAAACATAGTATATGATATATTGCTTCTATCCTTTGTCTTATCTTTAAGTGATATTATATAAGACAAACTATTAAACAATGCTATGACGTGTTATTTTTAATATTATCTTGTTGTTGTTTTTTTCAGATTTATTTGTAAAGATATTGTGAAGCAGGGAAATACAGAAAATGTCACGCCGTCCCCTTTTATAGGTGGTTTGGGAATGTAAGTGCAATTTCTTTTGTGTATGATTTTTTATAATAATTTCTCTTGTCAAATTTCAGGTCCTTGGTTGTACTTAAATATGGTCACATATTGAATGATGCGACAATCACATCAGTCAACTTATTCGGTTTTGTTTTGAATATTTTATACCTTTCATTGTTTTATTATTACACTAATGAAAGAGTAAGTAATTAGATATTTTTAACACTGAGAAAAAAATTAAATTTTTTATTTTCAGGAACAATTATTAAAAAACACAATTAAAATTTTATTAGGAGTCGGTGCCATTTATGGTTACACAGTGGCTGAATTTTCACCGACAAGATTGGAATTTAATTATGGCATTATAATTACAGTTCTAATGCTTTTTCATATAGCCACACCACTTTTAGACCTAGTGAGATATCATTTCTTAATAATTAAAACATCATCTTCTTTTGTAATAAATCTGAACAAAACCATTTCAGAAAACAATAATAGCAAATAAAGATACAGGATCTCTACCCTTTCCCATGATATTCAGTGGGGCAGTCGTAACATTTTTGTGGCTCCTCTATGGTATAATAATTGAAAATGCGTTCATTCAGGTATGACAAAATAATTTTTTATCAACCTGACTAGTTTCGTTGGTTTATGCTGTCATATATTTCCATATCTTTATTGGTTAATCTGTGTTACATTTGCATTTTATTTTGTTTATAAGGTGACATAACCTAATTAATTTCAAAGATGGCCTTTTAATATCTAGCCCCATATGTCACCTTATAAAATGAGGCAACTTACAAACACACTATCAATCACTGAAGTTGGCGAGAAGTGACAGACAAAACTGGAAAGAAAAGTTAGAATGTGATGATGGATTTGGAGATGAATCATCACATTTCCACAAAGTAGCATTTTGTATTAATTATACTTATTTATTTTCAGTTTCAAAATGTGATAGCTTTCTCGTTGTTAGCCTTCCAACTGCTTCTCTTTCTAATTTATCCACCACAGTACAAAGCAGAGAAAGAAACTAAAAAGAAAATTTAGAAACTTCTTGTTTGTAATCACAATTTAGTAAGTACAATCAAAACAATTGGTTTTGTTTAAATACAAGCCTAAAATTTAAATAGAAGTTTTAAAATTTAATACTGAAAATTTGGAATTTTTACAAACTCATTCATAATCATTAAACTGTACAGGTAAAAGAAATAGAAAAACGTAGTACTCCAATTGCTCTCTCAATTATCAGTATTTCATTGTAATTTGTCAACCAGGCGACACAAATTTATTCTCTTTGAAGTGCTTTTGAAACTCTACCGGCTTCCTCCTCAGCCATTGGTGGTTCAGTTACAAAAAGATTAGAGCTTCAAAAGTACTACAGAGAGAATAAAATTGTTTGTTGTTTGAGTTCACTGTTAGCGATCCTACACTGAAGATATGTAGTATTTAATATATAAAAGAGCGAAAGCAAATCATAAAGATTTATTAGTGTTTTATTACCTTATTTCTAATTTTAAGTAAAATAAATTCCAAATTATGGACTGTCTGTAATGTTCACTTGAACTAGCAGTTTGGAGTTTGAACTGTGATTTTAAAAATATAAAATTATTTTAACTTTTTTTAATCTCTTTTTAAAAATATTTATTAAATATGTATATATTGTGCCAATAAACACGGTTAAGTTAAACTGGTTAACTGGTTCAAAATCACCCTGTCTTGCTCAATTTTGTGTTGTTGAGTTGAAAACAATTGGGATTAGTAAATAAATAGAAATGTGATTGTATTAAATGTAATTGTCAGGTAATGAAAAGGGACAGGGGAAGATGTTGATAATCAAATTTTACAGTTTTGTTAAATTGTACTTATTTTCAAAATATATGTTTATAAAAATTGATATTGTTTTTAGTTCATTATTCAATAAAAAAAACCAAAAATTCACAGAGTATTGGATATAATAGAAAAATTACTCGAAGAAAAATTAATCTATTCTGTCACCTATGTTTCATAGGCTTTTGACAAGTTCTGGCATGAAAGAGTTATCTGAAATTTTTGAGTCAAAGAAAAAGATAAATATTAAAAAATAAGGATAATAAATGAGTGCCCCAAGGGAGCATACTAGGGCCAATACTTTACTCACTCTATACCAGTAATTACAGTCAAACAAAAGGATAAATATTAAAAAATAAGGATAAAAATGGAGTGCCCCAAGGGAGCATACTAAGGCCAATACTTTACTTACTCTGTACCCGTAATTTAAAAATTGCAACGTTTGCAAGTAATACAGCGGTGATATCAATAGGCCAGAGCACTAACCATCCTTCCAAAAGCTTTTAAGCAAAAACAACATAAATCAGTAAATGAAAAATAGAGAAACAGACTCATCCAGTTAAAATCAGAACATATTGCAAAAATAAAAATGGACCATATTCTGTCTATTACCTTTAGTTTTTAGTCTAGTACCAAATAAATTCCAAAATAAAAATTCTATGTAACATGTTGATGCACCATGGAACATAAGGAATCTTAAGATTACTCAAGTCACAGCGGAAAACCAGATTTGCCATCAAACACGTCTTGCCTATGCCTACATGAAAATTTTTTTGTTTTATGGCTCTACTTTCTCCATATTAGTCATACCTTAAGCTACATATCATTTATGATATTAAATTCACTAATTTCGTGGTCCGCTTGACCAATTAATATATTACAATTAATTAAGGTTTTTAGTTGAGATAAAAAAGTCAATGGCATGAGCGGGATTCGAACCCACGATCTTCGGCTAGATACGCCGCTGCTCTACCACTTGAGCTATCATGACCTCGATCCACTCGGACACTAACTTCCCATCTCAACCCCACCTTTTGAATTTTCCCTACTTTTGGCCATTTTTTAATTTTTTTTTTTTTTTTCACTTTTACAAATACATACATCATTCATTTAAAAAGGTATTACAGACGGGAATTAAAATTATGACAAAAACAAATCATTTACTAAAAAATAATATATACATCAATGTTTAATAATGACCAAAGTGATCACTATAATAAATTAATTATACACTTGTTTAATATCAAAAGTTTTGTGTTTTCTATCCCTACTCTTCAGTAATTTCTCACTAAAACTTTCGTCTTTGAACTTCTTCTTGAGGAAATGTACTTTAGGCTCAAAGTCATCCTTGAGTTTTCTCTTTGGTACGTGCTGCAAGGACGTCTCCCAATTTCCTGTGACTTTCATGTCCAGCATGATTTTCAAAACTTGGTCCAAGGTGAGACTCTTTGAACCCAAATTCCAATCTAAATATCTATCGAGCGGAAGCTTGGCCATGCGGAGCCCTTCGGCCTTGGCCTTCCCAAGAGAAAACGGTTTGCAATTTTCCTTATCGACCATTGCACCTGAAAAAATATCATGTTCAAAATTTATTCTAAAATAGAACACAAGCTAATGAGAACTTTTTTTTAAGGAAGGAAGGATCTGCAAAACATGTTTTAATTTAAAAATTAAAGTTAGATTTCACAGGATTATAATCCAGAATCACAGAAGTTCAAGAATCGATCCAATAAAAAAAAATAAAAAAAATATATATATATATATTTTAGTGGATTAGTCATTATCATCGATAAACCGATCCAGTAAACTAAATTTCAACAGGACACAACTTCTAACAGAATCCTAAAATATTTTCTAGGTCAATCTGAATCATTTATGAATGTTAAACAAGAAAATATTTTTAATTCAAGATTTTTAAATAGTCGTTTCTGATCATTTCAATAGAATATCAAAGTATTCAAGGTCACAAGAGGAAATAAAGCAAAAGTAAGTTTTCAAAATTAATAAATAGATTAGATTGTTTTCCTTTGGGCTGTTCAACAACTTACTACACGAAAGAAAGCTGTAATATACAAGATGGAAGAGTAAATTAAGATGTGGTCAATTTAAAAAATAAAATAAAAAGAATAATCAGCAATTTTAATTAATCTACGCCCTGACTAATGGATTAAAATTTAAACAAAAGTTAGTATTTTCCGGTTTAAACAATCCTGGCAATTAGAGGATGCTCGCAGAGCAACTGACTGAAATTTTCAATATTCAGTGTCGAAAGAGAAATCCCTAGCTTAGCCAATTTTTGAAATTTAAAAAGTTTGTATTTATAAATTGTATCAAACTTGGTGATTAATTGCTAAATTTGTAGGCATATTGACAATTCATTAGACAAAATTCACAACATCCAATATCTCCATGTCTCATTCTGCAATTTTTATTTTTTACAATTTCGTTTTAATTTCTTAATTTTAAACGTAAATTTTATTATTTTAAAATAAAAGTGTATAGAACTTGAAGTTTTCTTACCAATAATATATATATCATCATGGTTGTATGTTGTCAGCTCTTCTCGACAATGAGGTGTCAGATAGACAAGCTTTTCCTTTGGAAACATATCTAAATAGCTTTTTGTAGAAATATTAATAGGGAAATCGTCGTTGTACAGAATTGGTATTTGCTTTGCGAATCTAGTCATCATGTAGCCATCCCGGTCCACATTGACAAAGTGCAAACTGAAAGGCGATTTGTGGCGCCTATTCTCGCTGAAGAGTATCAAGAGTTGTTTAGCGCAATTGGCCGCTTCCCTGTTATTCATGTGTTGGTCGTAGCCGCAATCAATTATAATTTCTTGGCCGAACATCATTGCTTCGATCAGTTTTGCATTGTTCCACCTGTCCATCGTAGATTCATATATCCTTAAGAATATATTAGATCCTCCAAACCCATATTTTATGTGGGTGTTTTCTTCGATTTCAGGCTGCGTCGCCAACCACTTCGCCTTCTTCTCTTCTTTTTTTTTCTTATCGTTTTCCTTTTTTTTCTCGTTCACCCACCAAAAATTGATTTGTTTTATCCTTTGTCTTTTCGACTTGGCATTGAGAAGCTCGGACCATCTTTCATTTGTCATTAAAGATGGAACTTTGTTCGATTCTTGTCGTAGCAGTTCAAATTCTAGCATAATGACTTTGAGGTTTTTCTTAAGATTTTCATCGCCTTTTGTAATACCTTCGTAATCGACGTTTTCGTAATTATTCACATCGGCGTTCGTGCAGAAACCTCTGCTGTTTATGCAGTTGCTGATGGTCAGTTTGAAAACATTTTTGGGTATGCTTCGGTTTCGGCCCACCAAACCGACTACACTTCTCAAACTGAATCCGAGCATTTTTCACTTAAAACTGAAGACAACGTGTTTTTACAATTCTTGCACGGGGGCCAAAAAGAATGAAAGATAAAGTAATCTTTAAAAAACTGATTTATCCTTACACTTAACCTTCGTATCGCAGCCTTGAATTAACCTTCCCGTAAAGATAAATGTCGGCATGTTGGAATCTCGGTCCCACATTAGGTTTGACAAAACATCCCTTTTACCACTTATGCACTTTTAATAACTATTACATATAAATAATTATGATTAAAATATTTATAACAAAATTGGCATAGCCATATAAGAAAATGGAGCAATTTAGAGGGTGTTTATTTAAAATTTGTAATTAATTGGAATAATTATTATGGACAATTATGACTATTAAGCTAATATGGATTAATTTGTAATTAATACTCACGCGTTTATTATAATTATTACATAATTAATTAAACTCACCTATGATATAAATATATTTACATTAATTTGTGTTTTTCACTTAGACTTTTAAGTTTAAAAAGTAATTTCACCTTGTACAGAAAATATGAATTACATTTTTTAAAATTTGTTTTGGAGATAAAAATTTTCAGTCTGGGTTGCTTTGTAGAACTAAACACCTTATTTTATTTTTATTTATTTTTAATTTTTTTAATGACGTGTTTTATTCGCAATGCATTTCGGGCCACATCCCTGGTCCCTTTTCACAGCGATTATTTGAGCTAAATAAAACTCCAGTAGGCCAGGGACATGGCCCGAAATTCATTACAAATAAAATATGTCATAAAAAAACAATTGTTGTTTAGTTCAACAAAAACATCTCATAATGAAATACAGTTATTTATTGAAATAAGAATCTTTCTTTTTTCTTTTTGTTTGTTCCGTGAATATAATTTTTTGTTAAATTTTTTTATATAGAATGAATGGGTGGTTGATCTCGTTCAAAGTATATTCAATTCTTAATTTCAATAAAAGTGAATGTTCACAATGCTTTACATTGTAATAGAAACTTGTACCTGGAACTTTGTTTTATTGTAATTAATAAAAGTTTCCAAGTCCAAATGAAGGAAGTACAATATTCCTCAAATGTTAAGTTGTATATACTTACATAAAATTAAAATAGTTAAATAATATACAAGCTAATATGCAAACTCTCTTCCATTTTCTTCTGTCACTCTCTGTCTCTTTCTCTCCCACTTTTTTAAAAAGTTTTTTTAATGCCTTAGCATGAAATAGACATGTTAAAATTAATTATTATATAAATATAATTTTATAATATGGTATTACCCTAAACATTTAATATATTTATAGAAAGTTATTAACAATAATAGCCCATTTATTGAAATAATATTTATACCTTTATTTATTTATTTGTTGAGCATGTAGAGGAAAGGATACTCAATTTGTCAACTTAATTAGGTGACATTGCTCAATATATATAGTTATGTTCCACTCAATATGAGAATTGTGTTTGAGCATGGCAGCATTGGGTTCCCCTGTTACGATTTTTAGAAGAAACAGGACTGTTTCGTTGTATGTACGATTGGTAGATATTTCATTTTATGTTCCCTTTCATGTGTATTGAGAGTGAATGTATTTTTTAATGTGATCGGGCCGTTGGTGAAATATTGAGTACCCCATACTTTGGGTTACTTGTTAGTCTATTAGTCTAGAGTACTTAATCATTACTACTGGAGTACTTAATGTAATTAGAGGAATGAGATTTTTTTTGCTGCTGTCTGGTATCAATAGGCAATTCCAATTTTTATGCAAAGATGGTTGAGGAGAAAAATGAGTGACATGAGCGGGATTCAAACCCAAGACCTTTATCCAAAATCCCACTCGTGACCTTTTTCTTCTCGCCCATCTTTATATAAAAATTGGAAATAATATTTAATAATAAACAGATACACATTAGATAACAAATAGACATGTGAAAGTTAAGATAGGAAAGAAAATCAGGACAGTAAATTAGAGTATGTCTCAATTTATACCTAAGGTTATATCAATGTTGAATTTATTCATATATTTATTAATAAATAAACATTGAATTGAATTTTAAATAAATAAGCATTGAGTACAAGTGTATAGTTTCAAATATATTATGATGATAAGAAGTATCACCAAATGTAGTTGGCCTTGCAGACCACTTAAAAGTGCACGTAGAATAAAAAAATATTTAAGTTTATGTAATTTATTTGAAATTCAAATTGCCTGCAAAGTGCATAAATACTAAATTCTTAACAAAGGCTGGAGATAACTGAAGTGACAGTAAAAGCCCGGCAAAAAAATAAAAATAAAAAAATTAAAAAACCCCATTAAGCTTTTACTTATCGGGGATAAAAAAAAATCTAAAAAGTGGGGCTAGTGCATTCGTATAAAAATAAATTTAAATAGCATCAAGAGTTGCTTCAAGTCAAAAATTAGTTTGTGTCCAATGCAAATGCCAAAAATGCTCGGGACAGCAAATACATTTAAGCAAGTTTCAATTATTGGTGGAGGACTAATGGGGTCAGGAATAGCACAGGTAATCTTTTGGCATAAAGGAACTGTTTGTTTTTGCAATTAATTTAAAATGAGGATATTGGTTTCTCCCTTGTCGAGAAAGCATAGACATTTTTGAACAATGGGCTTGCACTTTTAATGAATATTATAACTTTTTAAATAAGAAATTTCCATTTTCTACTTTTTACATACTTGATGTGAGTAAAACCATTGTGAGTATTAATATCCTAAAACTTATAAAGAAAATTCCAATAAACCCATACAATACTCAACTTTTAATCAAATGTGCAATAATAATGTGATTAAATTAAAACAGAGACAGTTTTCTTTAATTAACATATTTATTCTATCATTTCTATTAATTTGTTTCAAAATTCTTGAACTATATTAATCGATAGAGGATTTTTTACCTGTAATAAACATTATGATTGATTAATAATTGTTCTTAAAAACAAAACATTAAACAATTTCTAATTGTCTAAAACAATTTAAAACTTATATGTATGAATTCTTACAGTGGAGTATATATTTTTTTCATTCTTCCATTGGAATATGATTTTTTTTAAACTAGTGTTTGCAACAGCAGAGCTCGTATGACAGTGTTTTTGAAATAAGTCAGATTCAAATGCAGGGCCACTGGATTCATACCTGGGATCTTTACCTTACCTAAACCGTTGCGGCCACTGGTACCCTCTGTTTTATAGTTGTTTGAATCATTCATGTTCTTCAGTCATTCTATCATTTTACTGGCTTATTCAAAATGCATCAAAATGCATTGCATTTTAAATAATAATATGCACATTTTAATGGTTTTATATAGAAGTTTAAATTGCTTTTGTCTAGGTGGTAGCACAAAAAGGGCAAATGGTAAACCTGGTTGAAGTAAATGACAGCATTTTGAAAATATCAAGAGCAAAAATTGAACAAGACATAGAAAAACTTTCCAAGAAGTTGTATAAAGTGAGAAATCATGCAATTAACTTAAGAAATGTTAGTCATAGTTAAAATTTTGTACAGGACAGTAAAGAAAGTTCTTCATATTTTGACCAAGTGCTTGGAAGAATTAATTACTTTGCTGACATACCAAAAGCTGTTGAAAGCAGTAACATTGTTGTCGAAGCGGTTGTTGAAAATTTTGATATCAAGAAAAATATTTTCTTATCTGTTGAAGAGGTGCTTTTATTTTGATTTGTTAATAGAATTTATGGATAGAAAAATAAGGCCAATATTTCCTAGGCTGCTCCTGAAGAAGCGATTCTATGTACAAACACTTCATCGTTGTCAATTTCAAGAATAGGATCTGTTTTAAAAAAACAGGACAGATTCGGAGGTGTACATTTCTTCAACCCTGTGCCTCTGATGAATTTAGTTGAAGTAAATATAAATTTGTTAAACACAAAAAATACTTATTTGAAAGATGTAAACATTATGGTAGGTCATAAGATCAGATAAAACGTCAGATAAGACATACGAAATGCTATTTGCTTGGACAAAATCCATCGGGAGGGTTCCTGTCGCATGCAAAGATGTCCCTGGTTTCATAGTTAATAAATTACTTGCTGTATTTATCGCAGAAGCCATCAAAATGTATGAAAAAGGTAATATTAAATAGTTTAGATCTATGAGATTGTTTTTAAACAAATTTTGTATTTGTTATTAGGTGATGCCAGTAAAGAAGCAATTGATACCGCCATTAAACTGGGTGCAAATCATCCCATGGGGCCGATTGAACTGTCAGATCTTATTGGCCATGACACTGTAGCTATGATTTTTAAAAGTTAGAAAATGTAATTTGATTTGGTAAATGTTGTGTTTAAACTTTTGTTATTGTAGACCTAAGAGAAGGTGAACCTGAGAACAAAATGTTTGAACCTCTCAAATCGCAAATAAGACTGTTGGAAGAAGGAAAATTGGGAGTCAAATCTGGAGAAGGCTATTACAAATATCCTAGAAAATCTACTACTAGTCTCAGCTAGAACACTCAATGCAATTTCAATTCTGTTTGCAATCATGATTTGTAAAATAATTAAAAGAGAAGTGGAAACTGACTGATCTATTAATTTATGCAATATATATTATTAGTAAAAATTTTTGTACAACTCCGGTAAATTTGTTGACTACAAGATCATTTACTTAGCTAACATTGTAATTATTTTTACATGAAAAGTAAAAAAAAATGTAATATAATAATAATTTGTAAAAATACATTAACAAAAGGTTGGAATTAAATAAATATATTTTCTGTGATGTAGTTTGATTTGTAATGGACTTAATCATTCCTGAATTATTTGGGTTTAAATAAATTTATTATGTTTTTCCAACTGTGTTGAAGTTAGATCCAAACAACCCAACAAATCTGCAAAACATCCAACAATTAAAAAAGAAAAAATAAGAATCAAGAAATTGATTTCAAAACTTTAAAAATTGTAAAATAATGTAGTAGCATTTGTCTTTAAATTAAAAATATAAAGATATCACTGAAAGTTCTCCTTTATCTAAGATATGATGTAGAATAAAATCTATCAGATCTAATTCTTGGTATAGTCAGGCAAATAGTTTTTTTTATAAACTTAGCATTCAAATCTTTTATATGCTAGACAAAATATGTTGTGAGTTTATCCTAGCACCTTTCTTCTCTGTCACTTTTGATAAAATTTTTGCTCCATTCCTCTACAGCTCATATAAACATAATTATGATATTGAATAAGTAAAAAAATGATCAAAAATGACTAAACTACAATTTCCACACCTTGTAGAACACAAGAGAAAATCTAACAACTTATAATCAAAATAGCACACAATATGAATGATTTATCTCTAAAATTTGGCATTTAAAAAATCCATCAGCTTTGACCATATCAACCTTACAAATTTGAAGAAACTTTTTATTTTTAATGAAGGACAAATTTTTAGAAGTTATTGATGACATCTCGAATAAATTACAAGTTCATTACTTCACAGGCCCCATGAGAGATTCTACATAAAATTTGTATATATATACTAGCTTTTACCCATGACTTCATCCATATGGGGCTCTGTTTTAATGCACCTTTCTAGTGTGATGCGGAGTGCTAGTATGGCTTTGTCTCGTTTCTCAAATTCTTCTCTTCTTCATTTCACTTCAGTCTATACATGGTAAAAAAATTATCCTTAGGGATGGAATTTCAAAATATCTTTTCTTAGCGGCTATCCATGTCATTATAGAAATGCACTGTCAAAATGTCAGCCCTGTAGATCCAGGGGTTTGGTCTGTGCTTTGCCTCAGACAGTCAGGGAACTATTTTATGGATATAAAAGATAGGGATGGAATTTCAAAAAATCCTTTCTTAGCAGCTATCCATGTCATTATATCAATTGTCGTAATGTCAGCCCTGTAGATACAGGGGTTTGGTCTGTGCTTTGTGTCAGACAGTCACGGAACTGTTATGTATATAAATTTGTTCAGTTTGAATCCCTTTATCGTTAGTTCTGTAGGTTCCACAGATATCAGCACAGTCAGAAAATGAACTTTGCATTTTTTAACTTTTTTCTAGATCTATAAAAGTTTTGTAATATTTTACATTATTATTGGCCTCTAAACAATATTTAATTTGTTTAAAGTGTATTATTTGTGCTTATTTTGAGTAAAATATGGTTTCAGTTTTTGTAAAATTTAGTTACTATTTTAAGATATTATTTATAATTCGACTATCACATCTTTTATTTTAACGAATGTTTTATACTAATTATTGTAGTGTAAAACATATTCTTGCTGTCTCTTAGATAACTTTAATTTTGAAATAGTATTTTAGAAGTTTAGAGGCGAAGGTTGGCAATCCCGGAGAGAAACATGTGAGTGAAGTTATGTTATCCTACGATCAGTTTAGTTACACATTTGGTTAAGTTCGTTTCGGCCGCTGCCCTTTTCTTTTGTTTTTGTTCGGTTATCATTTCCCAAATAAAAAAAAGAATTCAAAATTTAGGCGTTTCTCATCTCGCAGTTGTGTTGCCAGGTATGCTTTAAAGATGATGTGCGAGACGGTTCTGAGAAAAGGGGATCTGTACAAAGAGGAGTTTCTGTCGTGTTCTACGGCGCTGACGAGCAGGCGTTCGGTCTCTCTGCTCGACGTTTCCGGCCCGGAAAAGGAGCTCAACCACAAGACGATATCAAATGACACGATCGGCAGTCACACGTCGATATTCAAAGACTCCGGCTACAACCAGACCGGCTCCTCTTCCAGCCTCGGCTCCACAAAGGACAGGGAACAAGAAAAGAGGATCACCGACTTGGAGGAGGAGTTGAAGTACAAACAGGTCTTGATCAACGAGCTCCAAGAGTCCAACCAAACGCTGAGGATGAAGTTCGCCGAAGCTGAAAACAAAATATCAGAGCTTCGACTCAAGTGCGAGTCCCATTGCAAATGTTGCACCGCGGAACTGAGCGGACCAGGATCGGAATCGGAGTCGGAGGCCGGCAGCATCGGCATCCGTTACCCGAGGCGTCGGAACCACAGTCCCCAGAAGCTCTACGATACCGACCCCAATCGTTTCACCCCCGTCGACGAGAGCTACCAGAAGGTGAGACATTTTTAAACATTTACATTTACTCATCTCTTGAAATCTCTCCTAATAAACAAAATTTTATATCCTGTAAGAATAAAAAAAACCTTGTGATAGAATGCAAAGCTATTTGACTTAAACTTGAGCAGAATTTTTTACAAAGAACGCTGAAGTAGTACAATTAAACTCAAAGACCAACAGTTGGAAAGTTTAAATCCATTTTTTTAACGTTTCCCACCCTATTAGTAATACTTCCACATTCACACAAATGTCGATTGTTCGATAGAAAATGACCGTAGTTCATGAATTACATAATTGGTCAACATACCTTTCAAGGGGACTCGTAATTTCGGTTTATATTAATGTAAAGATTTTCCTTTTTTTCAAGTTCAAAGTTTCACAACGATTCATACAAATATCGAATGCAAAGAGGGAATTGCTCAAATTGACTAAATTACAATAATGACCCATATTTTGTAACCTAGTACCTTACATTTTGGTTTGTGTTCATTGTAGCTGTCGTAATGTTTTAATTTTTTTATCGTTCCTCACTTCCATGACTAACGTTAAGACACATTCGTCGTTGTTCGACGAAACGTTCCCAAGTTCATGAAATTTCATAAATTGACTAATTTTGTTTTTGGCACCTCATATTTTGATGGACGAGACCTACCAGAAGATGAGGAATTTTTTAAACTATGGTCGTGGATTAGAAACATCCACACAAATTTGAAATATACAACAATAACGTTAAGTTGCACGTGTGACCAAAATTTTATAACGTAGTATATTTTGGTTTATGTTTATATAACAGTTATCAGTTTTTTTTATGTTTCCCACCCACATTCCCGGTACTTCCTTTCACACAAGTCGAATGTTCTATGAAATGTGTACACAGTTCTTGGAATTACAGAAATGGACTTTTTTTTTCTTTGCTACCTCTTGGTACCTGATATTTTGGTTAACGTTTTTGCGAATTGCATAATTGACCAATATTTTTCACACACTCATTTTTCGGTTTATATTAAGGTAAAGATTTTCCTTTTTGTAAGTTTCACAACGACTCATTCACATTCATACAAATCTCGGATGCAATTTGAGATGTGGGCTCTAAAGTTGGCATTACCCATTTTGATCATATTAGATTAGTGATCACTATTTTAAAACGAAATATCTTACATTTTGGTTCATGTTTATGTTAATAGTTTTATACCATGGTAAATTATATTGGTAGTAATGTTTTGATTTTTCAATCAGTTTATCAATGTTTTTTCTCGGAACATTATATTTTGGTTCTTGTTTATATAACTGTTTTATTTTTTAACGTTTCACACCTCACCACCACAATGTTAACGACACAGGTCAAAAAGTTTGAATTACACAAATTGAACAAAGTTTTATTCCGTGGTATGTTATTGCTTCTATTGTTTAGTTTCTCAAAGTTCATGACCAAAGAAGTTATTACAATGTTAAAGACACATTAACATTCACAAAAATGTCGAGTGTTCGATAAAACGTGGGCTTCACCAAAGTTGATGAAATTACACGAACCATGTTTTCTTGGTACCTTTTTTGGTACAGTTTTATGTTAAAATTTGTATACCTTTATAAAATATATTGTTACTTATGTTTTAGTTTTTCAAACTCAAAAACGTGAAGTCACATTCACAAAAATGTCGAATGTACCACAAGAAATGGGCTCCCGAATTGAATTACATGTGACTAACATTTTATAACGAAGTACCTTATATTTTGGTTTGTGGAACTGTTTTTATTTTTTAAATGTTTTTCACCATCATAACCAACGTTACGTTACATTCATAGAAATGTCTAATGTGCGACAAAAAATATGATAAAAAGTGCTGATTGAAATTTTATAACGTGGTATGTTATATATTCGCAATGTTTTGGTTTTTAAAAGTTTTACAACTTGAAGTCGTATTCATAAAAATATCGTATAATCACAGGGTCGCAACGGTTTAGGCATTGACAAGGCGCTCATCACTGCAAGGTAAAGGTCTTGGGTTCGAATCCAGTGGCCCTGCATTCGAATCCGACATAATTACAAAATTGGCTTTTTTTATAAAAACACCGTCATCCTGAGGGTTTATATGACCTCTCCTGTTACGAACCCTCTTTAAAAAAAAATCCTATTAATCACGAAAGGTGAACTCAAAAATAAAATTAAATAAGTTTCCAATATAATACAACTTAGTACCTTACATCTAGGTTTATGTTATTCTTTGGATTTTTACCCTCATGACCAACGTTACGACACATTCATATTCACAGAAGTGGGCTTGTAAGTTTCCCTCAACTTTTTACAGTTAAATCAAACTTAAAACTTGGTACTTACAAAACATGGATACTACAACTATTAAATATACGTCTTCTACTTGTTTATTTTTATTATGTCACCACATGTCAATTTTTATTGGGGGTGGCTCAGAGGTTTTCCGGAAGAATTGGATCGAACCAATGCAACAGTTGTCCTGATTGGTGCTGGGAAAAACGTGTGATCATAACTGAAATATCAGGTTGTTTCACATGAAATTTCCTTTTTTACGTCAAAGATTGCTTAGTAAAAAACTTAATGAAATCAACATCATTTTACATAAATTGTTCGCACTTTTTCGAACTTATTTAATTCCAGAACTGAAAATATGTGATGTCATGAGGTGAAATGTTAACAAAGAAACACAATTACAGAAACATAAATTTACAAAATATAAAATATGTACTACGTTAAAAAATCTTCGGCCACTACTGTAATTAAATTTTTGAGTCCACTTCTCGACGTTCATTCTATTTTTTTTTTAATTTGCCGTCGTCACATTGATGCGAAACTTTGAAAAACCAGAACATTAAATGCACTATTTTAAAAATCCATTTTTTTGTCGTACAAAACACGTTTGTGTGAATGTGAATGTTTCTTAACGTCACGTAAACATTGACGAAAATAAAAGGTACTACATTATATACTCAAAGAAAAAAAACCCGAATCATGTATATTGTTGCACATTTCAAACTATTTCAATTTTTATCATTATATTAATTTCAACTTATTTTAATGTACACCAAATTAAACTAGATCAAAAATTCATGAGTTTTTATAAAAATTATGAAAGAAGAATTCAAAAGAATATTCAACAAACATTGGAAAATCATTGAGTGATAAAATAAATTTAACTAACAGTTTATTACCTGGTTTTGCTCATAATAACGCATTGAGAGCAAAACTATGTAAAAAAGTTGTTAGTTAAATTTTTATCTATTATTAAATGATTTTCCAGTTTTTGGTGAATTTTCTTTCAAACCATCTTAATTGAATATTTTTTTTATTAAACCTCATGAATTTTTATTCTCGTTTCACTTTGTTTACATTAAATAAGTATGTTGTAATTAATATAACGATAAAAATACATATAGTTTGAAATAAACAACAACATACGTCAACACATACGTGTTATTTTTTGTGTCCATTCTGATTTTGTTGAACTCCATAATAAGATGATGGGTAGGAAATAAATTGTCTTTTCCACCATAAGCATTTATTTCGTTAGTGTAGGATTTGATCAATTTTATGTAGGTCCACTTCTCGAAATACATTCGACAAATTGAAATAAACTTCATACACAAAATACCAAGAATGCTTAAAAGAAAACTAATCCCAAATAGAGAAACACTAAGTTGACCATTGCTGTAAATTAACTAATAATTAACAAATATATGTTTATGTATTTGTACATAATTCTAATCAGGGGGTTGATGTCCTCGTAATACCACGCTAATTAAGACATTATTACATATTTAATAAATGTCGTTATTGTAAGCACCACTCCGTACAGTTTCAAAAAAGGAGAAAATAATGAGGAAAAAATTCGACCACTTTGGGAATAATAATTATTAAAAAATCGTCCAAAGTGGTGTTTGATGCATTGTTCTGGGCCTTATTTTTGTTTTCAGAATTTTGACGTGCCATGTTAGATTTTCATCCAAGTGTAATCCTAGATACATTTGGCGACGATAAATATATTCTTCAGCAAGGATTTTAGTGATGTTGATATCTTAGATGGGTTAAGCACAAGTGCGCCACTTTTTACACTATTTTCCAGTAAGGTCTAAAACTTGTTGAAGCGTCATTTGAGCTTGTTCAGGTTTTAGTTGACCTACCATAAAATATCAAGGGGTCATCAGCTATCTTACGAAATAATTTGTTGTTGTTATAATTGATAAAAGATAAAATTGCCGTCATGAAAAGATAAAAAGCTACAAATGTGAGAAATCTTTTTGGTTGATTATTTTAACAATTTATTATTGAAATTTCAAGATTTATTATTCAGTCATAATAATATCAGAAGAAACAGAAAGGGTAGTAAGTTAAATTTTGGTAGAAATGCTCAACTCATGAGTCGTTCTAGAAGTTTCTATAACGATTCGTTATACCAGTAACCAGTCTATAAATGGCATTTTCAAAAGAGGACACGTGTATCACGTTTGTACTGATTATGCTGTTAATTGGGGATTGTTGCGATGCTGATTAATCGTCCTTTATTTAGTTAGATTAATTAGTAAGACGTTTCCTCCGTTACAAAACGTTCTGTTTCGTTTAATTATTATTTTTCGATTATTCTGATCTATGGTTTTTTATGGTATCTATGGTTTATGCAGTCTGTCTATTTGATCTACACTTGTCCCACTAATGCTATCCTCTTTATTTATGCATCTTCGTTTGTTTGCTTGTTGTCTTCTTGTTTACTCTTGATATTTACTCGTTTTAACGTTTACGTTCTGCGAGTTTTTATATTAAAAAAAATCCATCTGTGGTTTTCTGTTGTTTGTAGTATTGATTGCTCAAACGCGTTATTGGTTTACTAGGAAATATATGTTAGTCATCCGCATCATTATTATCTATGGTATCAAATGATTTTCCGACTATAGTTGTCTAATGTGTCATCTATAAATTGATTACCATCCTGTTTTAGTTTAACATGGTTTTACATTTTAAACTATATGGG